TCAAGATCCTGAGAACGAGCTACACAAAACAAAGGGGTAACACAAAAAAAAGGAATACACGGGATACACAACAGAGGACCCCCAAAACAGCAAAGCAGTGGCTTGAGTCACTCCAAACAATGGTGGGAAGAACCCAGAGTGAAGCTGTGCACTATGTCTAAAGGGTAAGAGATCAGAGCCAGGCAAAGGACTCCAGAAGAGATTTTTACATAAGGCTAGGCACAATGGCTCATACCTAATCCTAGCACTTTAGGAGGCCATGGCAGGCGGATTACTTAAGGCCAGGAGTTTGATAGCAGCCTGGCAAACATGGTGAAACCTCATCTCTACTAAAAATACAAAACTTAGCTGGGCATGGTGGCACATGCCTGTAATCCCAGCTACTTGGGAGGCTGAGGCACAAGAACTGCTTAAGCCTTGGAAGCAGAAGTTGCAGTGAGCCAAGATTGCACCACTGCACTCCAGCCTGGGTGACAGAATGAAAATCTGTCTTGAAGAATAAAATAATGGAATTAATAAATGATTTGATGTGAACTTTTTGAAAAGACATTTTGACAACTGATAGTTTGTGGCTGAATCAGTGATATTTAGAAAATAAAGCAAATGAAAGAAAATAACATTTAGTTCCAAAGAAGTCCAGAAAATTAGTCACTTGAACCCAGGAGGCAGAGAGGTTGCAGTGAGCCGAGACTGTGCCACTGCACTCCAGCTTGGGCAACAAGAACGAGACTCCCTCTCAAAAAAAAAAAAGCCGAATCATCTGGGGATCTCATTAAAAATATCTGAATTCTGGTCCTTCAACCACACTTTCAGTAACAAATGTACTACATGGCTGAGCTATAAACAGAATGTATAATAATGTAAACTCTGAATAGTGGTTAAATTATGAAATGTATTGATAGGCAGGGAAGATGGGAAATATGCAAGTGTATGGTAGAGAAGGAAGGAAAACTAGATCCTTCTCTTCTACAGAGAAGTTAATGCCTCAAACAGAAACATACTTAAAACTGCTGGCTTTAAAAATCATATATAATTTTGATAACAACAGAGTCCTTAAGAAGTAGGCAGAGGACGTGAACACAGTTCATAAATACAAAAAGCACTTCAACAGCTACATACTCTACTGTCTCATTAAGATTCCTTTGTTAAGGTAGGTGTAGTGGCAAGCCCCTGTAGTCCCAGCCACTTGGGAAGCTTGCTTGAGCCCAGAAGTATGAGTACAGCCTGGGTGAGATCTCACCTCTAAAAACATTTTTTTTTTTTTGAGATGTTGTTTCACTCTGTCACCCAGACTGGAGTACAATGGCTCACTGCAACCTCCATTTCCTGGGGTTCAAGTGATTCTCCTGCCTCAGCCTTCTGAGCAGCTGGGATTACAGGCAACTGCTACCATGCCTGGCTAATTTTGTAGTTTTAGTACAGGCAGGGTTTCACCATGTTGGCCAAGTTGGTCTTGAACTCCTGACCTCAAGTGATCTGCCCATCCCAGCCTCCCAAAGTGCTGGGATTACAGGTGTGGGCTACCACACTTGGCCTCTAAAAAGTTTTTTTTAATTACAAATTTTTATACTCAGGAGGCTGAGATGGGAGGATCACTTGAAACTGGGGGGTTGAAGCTGCAGTGAGCCGTGATCGTGCCACTGCACTTTAGTCCGTGTGAAAAAGAGAGCCCTGTCTCAAAAAAATTTTTTTGGTTGTTTTAAAAAGATTACACTTATCACTTAGCAACTGGCAAAAAAGAAGAGTTCGCTGATTGCACCAATTGCAATAACGTAAAGAAACAGCAATATACTGTTACAGCAATAGTTACGAAATCTTAGTGTTTTATGTTGTAACAGAATACCACAGACTGGGTAACTTAAAAATGAATAGAAATTGGCCAGGCACAATGGCTCATGCCTGTAATCCCAGCACTCTAGGAGGCTGAGGCAGGTGGAACATGAGGTCAGGAGTTTAAGACCAGCCAAGAAGGTGAAAACCCACCTCTACTAAAAACTACAAAAATTAGCCGGGCGCGGTGGCAGGCACTTGTAATTCCAGCTACTCGGAAGGCTGAGGCAGGATAACTGCTTGAACCTGTGTGGTGGAGGTTGCAGAGAGCCAAGATGGTGCCACTGCACTCCAGACTAGGCAACAGAGACTCTGTCTCAAAAAAAAAAAAAAATAATAATAGAAATGTATTTGGCTCATGATTAGCAGCTGGGAAATCTAAGAGCATGACATCAGTGTGTGGCAAGGGTCTTTGTTGTTTTGTGATCCCATGGTGGAAGGTGAGAGGGCAAAGAGGGTGTGCTCAGGAAAGCAAAATAAAGATTTGGCTAAACTCCATTTTATGACAAACCCACTCCTGAGATAGTAACATTAATCCATTCTTGAGGGCGGAGCCCCCACAGCCCAATCACCTCCCAAAGGTTCCACCTCTCAATATCACAATGGCAATTAAATTTCAACATACATTTTGGAGGGGACATTCAAAACAGCACTGACAATCCTTATTGTCCCATAACTAAATCACTTCCAGATTTCAACCATCTTTCTGTTGGCAATTCTTTTAAGTTGGCTACCACAATATGCTTTTTTTTTTGAGACAGCTCTCTTTGAAGTGAGTGCAGTAGCACAATCATGGCTCACTGCAGCCTCACCTACAGGGCTCAAGACTCTTCCCACCCCAACCTCCCAAGTAGCTGGGACTATGGGCACCATGCCCAGCTATTTTTCTTTTTTGTAGAGACAGGGTCTCACTATGTTGCCCAGGTTGGTCTTGAGTTCCTGGACTCCAGTGATCCTCCTCCCTCAGCCTCCCAATGTGCCGGGATTACAGGTGTGAGCTACTGCACCTGGCCCAGTATACATTCTCAACTACTTTCTTCCTTAGCTGCTTTGGCTGTCAGGACTAAAAAAGCCACGTAGTCACCCCTCATCTGTGGTTTCAGTTACCTTGGTCCAAAAACAGGTGAGTACAACACAATATTTTGAGAGAGGCTGACCACTACCACATACTTTTTATTACAGTAATTGTTATAATTTTTCTATTTTACTGTTAATCTGTTACTGTGTCCAATCTATAAACTTTATAATAGGTAAGTATTAGCCCATTCTCACACTGCTATGAAGAAATATCCAAAACTGGGGAATTTATAAAGAAAACAGGTCTAATTAACTCACAGTTCCTCATTGCTGGGGAGGCCTCAGGAAACTTACAATCATGGTGGAAGGCAAAGGAGAAGCAGGCACCTTCTTCACAGGGTGGCAAGATGGAGTGAGTTCAAGCAGGGGAAATACCAGATGCTTTTACCATCAGATCTCATGAGATTCACTCATTATTATAAGAACAGCATGGTGGAAACCACCCCATGATACAATTATCTCTACCTAGTCCCACCCTTTACACATAGGAATTTGGGGATTATAATTCAAGATGAGATTTTGGGTGGGGTCACAGCCAAACTACATCAGGTATACATGCATAGGCAAAAACAGTATATATATTTATGTGTATATGTATATATGTATGTATGTATATGTGTGTGTGTGTGTGTATATATATGTATATATATATGTGTGTGTATATATATGTGTGTGTATATATATGTGTATATATATATGTGTGTGTGTATATATATGTGTATACGTATGTGTATATATATACATATATACACACACACACACACGGGGTTCAGTACTACCTACGGTTTTGGGGATCCACTCACAGTCTTGGAATGCATCCCCTGAGAATTAGGAGGACTACTGTATTCACTTTCTCAGCCTCTGCAGCTAGAGATGGACATATGTCATGGTTCTCAACAATGAAACCAAGTGAAAGCCTGCTGGGAGGAATTCTAATAAATCTCTTGCTTTACCTTTCCTGGAGGAATTTTGAGAAATCTCATGCCTACGGTCTCAGCTAATTGGGAGGCTGAGGTGGGAGGCATGCTTGCCAGAAGTGGCTGGCACAGCTATCTTTTCTTCCTGCTTTGAACTCATGTAAATGTCAGCCCTTTCACAAGCATGAACAACAATCCATAAAGGTGTTAGAAATATGCCATGGAGAGTGGAGTGGAAAAATACAAAAGAAGCATCACTGAGAGCTAAGCCAACAACTACTGCATCCTCACTTGGATTTAACATATAAGACAAAAACCTCCTGCTTAAGTCCTGCATCGTTTTGTTACACAGCCAAACACACCCATTTTCTCAAAGAAGGCTGCTCTGAATTATGTTTTACAAATAATTTCCCCAGTATTTATTTGTAAGTTAAATATATAAACTCTTATACTATAATGTTCACTCTAAAACAGAAATTGTAAGAGTAAAAAAAAATAAGTCAACTGGCCAACTGGTTCACACCTAATAATCCCAGCACTTTGAGAGGTCGAGGCAGGAGGATCACTTGAGCTTGGGAGTGCAAGACCCTGTCTCAATTTAAATAAATTAAATAAATACAAATCAATCTCCACATTTCTGGGTTTGCTTATTTTACAATCAATAGAATTGTTTAACTGTGAGCAATAAAAATATAAAGAATATGTAATTTACTGAAAACATGAGGTAGCTTGCAGAACTTAAGGAAAAGCTAAACCAGGCCTCAGGAGAAACAGGAATCAGGATAGCTCAGAATCACCACTTTCAGAAACTGCTCTGAAATAAATTCAGGAGCACCAATCCAATTTAGTTTCTTGAAGCAAAGTATACCTCAAGGTGCTAAAGCACAGTTAATTTTAGAACTCCCATGAAAACCATGCTCTTCAACCTACAAAATAAGCAAATTTAAAGCTTAAAATCTAGGACTTTCCATATAAAAAAACTAACAATTGAACAATTTGTTTACAATAAGATTAAAATATGATCTACAGACTGTTTACAGACTTCCCCGTCAACTACCCCCAGATCTACCACTTTCTTCCAGTTTTAGGCTCACAGGGTGGAAACTTTCACTACCTATTTTATTCTTAAATACCTCCTCCTCTCCTAGCATTAGTTCATAGGCAAAAGCTGTAAAAGTCAGTTTCAAATTTTATTTCATTAACTTAAAAGGTGGACAAAAATGTTTATTTCAAATCTAATTGAAATTCATCTGAAACAAGTAACTTATTTCAAGTAACTTATTGTACAGTCCACTGTCCATTTAAAAATATTCTTTCTTCCAAAAAAACTGCACTGAAAGACAAAAAAAAAATATTTTACAGTGCATAAAAGCGAGATGCAAACTTCTGATGTGAATTTGTTTCAATGTCAACTCCGATGATAAAGATGAGAGGCACAAGGATTCACAGTTCAGTTAAATGATGCAAACAAAAAGCTTCTGGTTTCCTCCAATACAAATTAGAAGCTTCCATTCATACCTCCATACTTGATGTTGATACTAGGTTACTTCTTTTTCTTTCCTTTCCCTTTTTTACTTCCCTCTCCTTGTTGAAGACTTGGGTCACCACCTCCTGTTTTTTGTGTCCTTGTTTTTAGTTTAGGTATCATTTCTGCTGCATACAACATTACTGACTTACCTAGGAACCAGAAGTTAGGCTTAGTGTACAATCTGAGAAGTAAGACATAAAAAGTCATTAACTTGAATATCACAAAGCGTAAGAAACTATCACATCAAGAAAATGGAAAACAATTTTTTAAAAAAATAAAAAATCAAATGACTGTGAAGACACTCACCGGCTCAAGTGTGGGGAAATGTACTGAGAGTAAGAATAATGCTGAAAATATTTAAATGAATAAAATCAAAAGAGTATGAAACAAAAATTCTGACCTTGGTCCTAGCTTAAAGATCTAAGGAGTATTTATCTAAATATATCTCAGGTAGGAAACAGAGTCAGAATATCATTGTATCTTAAGACACTGAAACACAGGGTTTTCTGAGTCTTATAACAAAAATAGTATCAAGTTACAAGAGATCTGATAGGTAAGATCAGATGATCTACCCTTATGGGCATCCCTGCTCTGCATACCCACAACCAGCTACCTTCACCCCAAGAGACCAAGCTCCTCAGCTCTGCTTTCTTTTTACTATCTTACTCACTTGGATCTTAGTGGAAATAGGAAGTGACATCTTTTTACCAGAATTTCTATCCCTATTTTATCTACTAGTTAATTAAAAAATTTTTTTTGTTTTGGTCTTTTGAGATATAGTATAGGAAGATGTTGAAGAGGAAAAAAATACATATGAGAATATACTATCTGTCACTCCTTAATCACAACCTGAAGCACTTAGCAATACCTACCAATCCTGATGGGTTTTCATATATAAAAAACAATCTACTTTAGGCTGAGCCCGGTGCCTCACGTCTGTAATCTCAGCACTTTTGGAGGCTGAGGCAGGAGGATCACTTGTATCCAGGAGTTCGAGACTGGCCTAGGAAACATTGCAAAACCCCATCTCTAGAAAAAATGAAAAATTAGGCAGGTGTGGCGGTGTGCACCTGTATTCCCAGCTGCTTGGGAGGCTGAGGTGGAAGTGTTGCTTGAGTCCAGGAGGTCAAGACTGCAATGTGCCATAATTGTACCACTGCACTCAACCTGGATGGCAGAGTAAGACACTGTCTTTAAAAAAAAAAAAAAAAAAAGTTTAAATATGCTGGCTGGGCATGGTGGCTCATGCCTGTGATCTTGGCATTTGGGATCTCCCCAAGGTGGGAGATTGCTTGAGGCCAGGAGTTTGAGACTAGCCTGGGCAACACAGTGAGATCCTTGTCTATTAAAAAAAAAAAAAAAAATCAAACGAAGTTGTCAGTTTGACAGTTTCATTGTTTTTAAGTAAATTTAATGGAAGAGTTTAATTAAACTTAGGGGGGTTATTAAACTGAAACAAAAAATTAATAGCTCTGTTTTAAAAAATTAAAATTTTCAGAGATAAAAATTCAGAAAAATAACATGAAAACAAAGACTTATTAATACTCAGAACCAACATTCTGTTATATTGATTTCTAGTTTTGTCGTTATTGTTTTCATGAAAGGAAACATTAGAGGTGATGAAACAGTCTTCTACGATCATCAATCCCCATGTCTCTACTTTCTATCCCACTAGCCATTAGGTGACTACTGTCTTAAGAGTCGGTGTTTCCTTACAGATCATTTCAAAAAAAAAAAAAACCAATAAGCAACATTATATATGGATCTATCAATAAATAGTAATATTTTGTATTTAAATTTACATAAGTGGTACCACACTGTGCATATCTCTTGCTTTTTTCAGTCAATATTGCTTTTTAGATTTATTAATAGAATAATTAGATATTAACAAACCTCTAGGATCTGAAATGGTATTTAACATCCCATGATTTAATAACTTTATATTCTTAATCTGGGAGAAATGACAGACTTCTAGAGGTTTATAAATATTCACACAATTTTTTGATAAATGTTTAGTAGGTCTCATTACACTTTCAAAGAGGTCTTTCGCCTCAAAGAAATAGAACTACTGCTTACCTGTCTCCATGAGAAGTAGTCCTGTCTTTAAATTATTCTTTAGAATGCAAATTCTGATTTTCACCTTTCAGTTTTAGAAATTGTGTTGTGTAGGAGAAACCTATCCCTGAATCCTACTGATTCACTTAAAAAAGCTTACGTGATGGGAACTGCACAAGGCAGAGACTGCCATCTTCCTGTTTGAGCTGGACCCGGACTCTGCCTCTGTATTGGACATCACGATTCCATTCTCTAGAGTACATTTTATTTTTCTAACATAAACGAAACAAAAGAAAAACAGGGCTTAAGCAAGTTATTACATCAATTAGATGAGTATGGAAAATAGTAAAGAACCATGTCATACCTCAAGAAATACGTTAAGTCCAACTGCTGAACATACATCTTGAATCTCTGTAGCTGTAGGATTTTCAACAGCCTGAACAGTTAAAAACATAAACACTAAATACATTTGCTTTAAGTGAACACTGCCATAGTGTTGGGTAAATAATTTCAAATACTATAATCAAACAAGTACCAAAACCATAGGTGTCCTTTTTCCCTAAGTACAGATGCTTCCATTATAATTTTAAAAATTCCTAGGAATAACACTAATGCATACCTGTGTGTCTGCCTCCACTCCAACAAAACATAATCTTCTAAGGGCAAGGACTTTGTTTTGTTAACCAGTGTGTTCCCCTGCACCTAGCATGGTACTTTGAACATAGTAGGTGGTCAACGATTATTCACTGCTTAAACAATTACACATACAAACACTTTAGAAAACCGTCCGCTAGTATCTACTAAAACTGAATATATGCATTCCCTATGGCCCGGCAATTCCATTTCCAGATGTGTTCTACAAAAAAGCAAAAATAGGTTCACTAAAAGACAACTATTTATAATAGCCTCAAACTATTAATAGAAATAATCCAATTTTTCATCCCAAATACAAAGGGCCAGGTGTGGTGGCTCACACCTGTAATCCCAGCACTTTGGGAACCAAGTCAGGCAGATTGCTCAGCACAGGAGTCTGAGACCACCCTGGACAACATGGAGAAATGCCATCAATACAAAAAAAAAAAAAAAAGAAAAAAAAAATAGCCACATGGTGGCGTGTGCCTGTAGTCCCAGCTACTCAGAAGGCTGAGGTTGGAGGATGGCTTGAGTCCGGGAGGTGGAGGCGTCAGTGAGCTGAGACTATACTGGTGTACTCCAGCTTGGGTGACAGAGCCAGATCTCTCTCTTAAAAAGAAAAAGGAGGGCGGGCACGGTGGCTCAAGCCTGTAATCCCAGCACTTTGGGAGGCCGAGGCGGGTGGATCACGAGGTCGAGAGATCGAGACCATCCTGGTCAACATGGTGAAACCCTGTCTCTACTAAAAATACAAAAAATTAGCTGGGCATGGTGGCGTGTGCCTATAATCCCAGCTACTCAGGAGGCTGAGGCAGGAGAATTGCCTGAACCCAGGAGGCGGAGGTTGCGGTGAGCCGAGATCGCGCCATTGCACTCCAGCCTGGGTAACAAGAGCGAAACTCCACCTCAAAAAAAAAAAAAAAAAAAAAAGAAAAAGGAGGTCGAAAAGACTTTGGTACATGCACACAGTGCAATACTAGAGCAAACAGGGCAGTAGTTTCCAACAGGGAAATTCTGTCCTCAGCCTCCCTACCCCTGTCCACACACAAAAGACACCTGGCAATGCCTGAAGACATTTCTGATGGTCACAACTAGGGGATGGGAAGGTGGAGGGGGACATTTCTGATGGTCACAACTAAGGGATGGGAGGGTGGAGGGGGATAATCTGTCATCTAGTGGGTAGAGGCCAGGGATACTGCTGAACATCTTAAAATGCACATAACAACCCCCATACAACAACTATCTGGCTCAAACTGGCAATGGTGCTGCTATTGACAAACCCTGTCACAGAGCAATAAAAATTCAACTATATTCAAATATGTGGATAAATCTCATAAGCTTAAAGTTCAGTGAAAAAAGATGCAAAAGTACATAGTGTGTAATTCCATTTACAGAAAATTCAAAAAAAGCAAAAGTAATCTATTGTGTTGAAGTCATGACAGTGGCTATCCTGGTATTTTTGAGCATATGCGTAGGCGACAGTGGTTGGTAGGGAACATAAAGGAATGTTCCTGGATGCTTGCAATGTTTTCTTTTTTGAGTGCTTGTTACCACTCAGATGTACTCATCATATGACAATTCACTGCATCAAACCTAAGTGCCTTAAATCTGTCACATTACAAAATACAAATGACTCTCTAATAAAACACATCACGGATGAACTTTTTGCAAGTCTTTCTTACATAATTAAAAAAATCTCAACTACATTCTGAACATTTTTAATGTATCATAGAATGTCATAATTTTGTTTTTCTGTACCAAGGGGAATATTGTCATAAACTTTAAAAAAAAAAAACGTGTATTGGGAGGCCAAGGCAGGCGGATCACGACGTCAGGAGATCAAGACCATGGTGGCCAACATGGTGAAACTCCGTCTCCACTAAAACACAAAAAATTAGCCAGGCATGGTGGTGCACGCCTATAGTCCCAGCTACTTGGGAGGCTGAGGCAGGGGAACTGCCTGAACCAAAAGCCGAAGATTGTGGTGAGCAGAGATCACGCCACTACACTCTAGCCTCGTGACAGAGCAAGACTCTATCTAGTCAAACAAAATACAAAACAAAACAAAAAAAATCATGTAAACTCTACAGACTCTCTATATACTTATTTACAAGCACAGGCTCATTAGGAGCCATTAAAAAAAAATCCCCTCAGCTATGAATTAATGCCTTTCTGGTTTCACCAAGGAACACACCCCAATTCTTGGTTGTTCTCCTCAAGCCCTAAATAAATGCAGTGAAGAGAAGCCCCTGCGGCTCTAACAAGATGACGTGGCCCGACCAGGATGACATGCCCCATTCCCTTGAGGACCAAGGCGCCAGCCACCTGCTTACCTTACTTATGGGGATTCGCCTTCCCTCTGCAATGGTCTTCTTATTATTTAAATAAGCAGGATAGATACAAATAAACCTGCCATAGACAAGAGCACAACTGGTATCACTACAGCAGTATGAGGCAGAAGAACAGGGTCGGGAGGGAGATAACGGAAGGCCAATTCATGCTGACTAGGTATCAGATGGCTACTCTCTTTTCAACTGTCTTTTTTTCTGCATGGCAGTTAAAAAAATCAAAGTACCTCGGGCTCTCTCCGGCAACCAATCAGACTAGCACTGGCCAATGGGAAACCTTCAGGAAGTATTTAACCCCCCCAAAATTTCGTTACCTGCAAATATGCCATAACCAACAGCTGTTGGGTGGCTTGCTGGAGCCAGCTCCCACTCTGTGGAGTGTACTTTTGTTTAAAATAAACCTGCTTTCACTGCCTTGTGTGTTCTGCTCAATTCTTTATTCAAAACGCCAAGAACATGGACAACGCCTGTAATCCCAGCACTTTGGGAGGCCGAGGCGGGTGGATCACAAGGTCAGGAGATGGAGAACATCCTGGCCAAGATGGTGAAACCTCGTCTCTACGAAAAATATAAAAATTTGGCCAGGCGCGGTGGCTCAAGCCTGTAATCCCAGCACTTTGGGAGGCCGAGGCGGGTGGATCACGAGGTCAAGAGATCGAGACCAGCCTGGTCAACATGGTGAAACCCCGTCTCTACTAAAAATACAAAAAATTAACTGGGCATGGTGGCGTGTGCCTGTAATCCCAGCTACTCAGGAGGCTGAGGCAGGAGAATTGCCTGAACCCAGGAGGCGGAGGTTGCGGTGAGCCGAGATCGTGCCATTGCACTCCAGCCTGGGTTAACAAGAGTGAAACTCCGTCTCAAAAAAAAAAAAAAAAAATTAGCTGGGCTTGGTGGTGCGTGCCTGTAATCCCAGCTACTCAGGAAGCTGAGGCAGGAGAATAGCTCGAACCCGGGAGTCAGATGTTGCAGTGAGCCTAGATGGCACCACTGCACTCCAGCCTGGCCACAGAGTGAGACTGTGTCTCAATAATAATAATAATATTTATTGTGTCAGTCCGAGATAGTCCTTGTCATCACTGCTGGTACACCTATGCTATTATTTGCTTAATGCTTTTTCGTTAAATTACCTTTCTTTTACTTACCTTACTTAAACTTTATCCACTACGTTAGATGGAAAAGAACAACACGAACAGAAACAAAACTTGTTAACTGTTACATTAGACAGAGCAGTGTGTCAAAAGTTCCTGCGAATGGGGCCAGCCCTCATATAAAAAACAGTGTCCAAGGTATTAAAAACCTTAAAAATTCACAAACGAGCCTTTCTGAGCTCAACAATAAGATATATCATGTCCAGGTAGCACCCAAAATACTTGTGTCGCGTAAAGGTAAACACTAGGATACCTACGGTAGGAATTTCAGAAGCCCTGCCAAGAGCCTAGTGGCTGCTGCAGGATTCTCGGAAAAACGAGCCGTCTGGGAGGGGCGCAGAGCCCGTCCAGGCCAAGCTGGATCGTCTCGCTAGGCCATTCACGATGCCGCGACGCGGCGTAAGGAAGCGCAGCACCCGCGGCACCACAGCAAGCCCCTTCCTTTCTCAGGACCCACCTCCCCAGGACCCACCTGTCCTGGTCGGCCGGGGAGCGCGCGGCAGCACAAGCCATCTTCACAAAACTCTGAACAGCGACCACCAGGACAGCTCTGAGTTTCCCAGACAGTGCGATATTCCGCCGGAAGTCCTGCCCACCAAATGGTTCCGCGTCCGCGATTTCTCACCTCCTATTTGTTCCGGCACCTGTCGCTCGGCCGCGGGATTGCTAGTCTCCGACGTGGCGTGACTACTTCCCCTCTCGCGAGAGGATCAAGAAAGCTGCTCACTCCTTTCCCAAGTCTCGCCGGGAAGCGCACGTGGGACGCATACATCGCCACTAAAAAAGGGGTTAACTTCGACCCTTCCTCATTTCCACTTTCTCAGCGAGTATGAATGGTACTAGCTGTTTAGGGGCGAGACTGTGCACTGAGGAGGATCTGTGTGGTTCAGGGTGCAAATATACATTAGAGGAAGCAAGAAAATGCTCCTTATGTTTAATTTGTAGCTGTTCCTGGGCCCTAGAGCTTGCTTTCAATTTGGCAAAATGGATTTTTATAGCGGTAGAACTAGCGAAGTTAAAGACACTGTGTTTCAGTATGCTGTGTAAGTGTTAGAAACTTAACTATTCACCTTTTAGGCTGTGCACCGTGGCTCACGCCTGTAATCCCAGCACTTTGGGAGGCCAGGCAGATCACTGGGTCAGGAGTTGAGACCAGCCTGGCAAACATGGTAAAACCAAGGCAGGCGGACCACGAGGTCAGGAGTTCAGACCAGCATGGCAAACATGGTAAAACCCCATCTCTACTAAAAATACTAAAATTAGCCGGGCGTGGTGGTCCACGCCTGTAATCTCAGCACTTTGGGAGGCCGAGGCAGGCGGATCACGTGAGGACAGGAATTCAAGACAAGCCTGGCCAACATGGCAAAACCCAGTCTCTACTAAAAAACGCAAAAATTAGCTAGGCGTGGTGGGAGGTGCCTGTATCCCCGCTACTCAGGAGGGTGAGGTAGGAAAATCGTTTGAACTTGGGAGGTGGAGGTTGCAGTGAACCAGGATCCTACCACTGCACTTCAGTCTGGGCAACAGAGTGAGACTCTGTCAAACAAACAAACAACGACTACAAAAAAAAAAAAAACAAAAAACTTCTGAAGAATACCATGTGCCATCTTGATTATTGCAAACAGGCAATACTTGATCATTGCACTTTGCTTTGCTGCTCTGAGCAGATACTGCCTTTTTAACAAATGGAAGGTTTTTTGCAAATCAGCTTGGAGGAAGTCTCTTGGCGCCATTTTTCCAGCAGTGTAGCTTTGTGTCATATTTTGGTAATTCTTGCAATATTTCAAACCTTTTCATTATTTCTGTTATGGTGATCTGTAATCAGTGATGTTCGCTGTTACTATTGTAGTAGTTTTGGGGTGCCATGAACCGTGCCCAGATAAGATGGGGGAACTTATTGGATAAATGTTGTATATGTTTTGACTGTTCGGCCAACTAGCCATTTCCCATCTCTCCCTCTCCTGGAGCCTCTATTCCCCAAGACACAACAGCATTGAATGAGGCCAATTAATAACCCTACAATGGCCTCTAAATGTTCAAGTGAAAGGAAGAGTCACATGTCTCACTTTCAGTCAAAAGCTGGAAATGATTAAGCTAAGTGAGGAAGGCATGTGTACGCCAAGATAGGCTGAAAGCTGGGTCTCTTGGCATCTTAACAGTTAGCCAAGTTGTAAATACAAAGACAAAATTCTTGAAGGAAATTAAAAGGAACTTACTTCAATAAACACACAAATGATCAGAAAGCAGAACAACCTTATTGCTGATACAGAGAAAGTTTTAGGGGTTTAGATAGAAGATTAAACCAGCCACAACATTCCTTTAACCCAAAGCCTAATCCAGAGCAAGGCCCTAACTCCCTTCATTTCTGGGAAGGCTGAAGAAAGATGAGGAAGCTGCAGAAGAAGTGGGATGCTAGTAGAGAGTGGTTCAGGAGGTTTAAGAATGAAGCCATCTCCATAACGTCATGTGTAAGGTGAAGCAGCAAGTGCTGATAGAGAAGCTGCAGCAAGTTATCCAGAAAATGTAAATGTAGCTAATGCCATTGATAATGATCAATGATTAGCTAATATCATTTAGTGGTTACACTAAACAGTGGATTTTTCAATGTAGACAAAACAGCATACTGGAAAAAGATGCCATCTAGGACTTCGATAGAACTCCTTTGAGAGAAGAAGTCAATGCCTGGCTTCAAAGCTTCAAAGTTAATTACTGGGGCAGCTGGAATATTGTCATGGTTTCTGGCCTCCAGGTGTTTTTGCAGTATTTCTCATAGACATTTGAGGAATTCATTTTTATGAATCCAGCCTCCTCAATGGAGAAACAAAAAAGTGAGCTTTCCCAGATGCTACAGGCATGTAACACATCCTCTGCCAACCACGTCCACCCAAGCAAGACTTCAATTCAGAAGCAAGCAGTGTGAAGTGAGTGCCACATGTAATCTTAATTTATGGTGATGGTGTCAGAGGATTCCAGCATTAGGGGTAGCATCTGGGTCTTTACTGCAGTCTCACAGCATGGTTTTGATATTGTTTCTACTGTGTAGTTTCCAACACTGATTTTTTAGTCCTCATACAGATCCTGTGAGATACCTCATATTCTTTAAATAAACATCCTGTCGTTAAGAGGTCTTGTTTTTAATTAAAACAAGAATCCCAAAGGTTGATAAATGAAATGTTAGTATGGTTGGCTTCAGAATTCTTAGGTAATATTTCTGTTTCCTTCAAAATGCTGCATATAGTTCCATTGTTTCGTGGTGTTTTGTTCTTTAACATTTAGTGTTGCAGAGATAATTGATGCCAACATAAGTTTTTTTCTCCTTTGGAGGCAACCTATTCTTCTCTTCCCATTGACTTTTTTTCCCCCCACAAAACGTAGTCTTGCTCTGCCGCCCAGGCTGCAGTGCAGTGGTGTGATCCTGGCTCACTGCAACCTCTACCTCCCGGGTTCAAGCAGTTCTCCTGCCTCAGCCTCGAGTAGCTGGGATTACAGGCATGCGGCACCACACCCGGCTAAGTTTTGTATATTTAGTAGAGACAGGGTTTCACTATATTGGCTAATATGGTCTTGAACTCCTGACCTTGTGATCCACTCACCTCGGCCTCCCAAACTGTTGAGATGGCAAGCATGAACCACCAATCCCGGCTCCACTGATATTTTTAAATAAAGTCTTAATCTTGGAAATTTTAGAACTTATTTTTATGTCTAAATATAGTTTTCTGTTAGTTTAAAGTTACTTCAGGAGCTTGAAGTAGCCATCACTACAGGTATACTTCATTATTGCACTTCGCTTTGCTGCCCTGAGCAGATACTGTCTTTTTACAAATGGAAGGTTTTTTGCAAATCGGCTTGGAGGAGACTTCTTGGCTTCCCACAAGTATTCCCCAAACCAGGAAAAGTAGAACAAGGTCTCAGAAATGGCAGGGACTGGAGTGACTCCAGGAGCTAGGGACTCTTTTTTTGAGACAGGATCTCATTTTGTCACCAAGGCTGGAGTGCAGTGGCAAGAACGATCCTCCCACCTCATCCTCCCAAGTAGAGGGGAATACAGGTGTGCAACACCATGCCCATCTAATTTCTAATTTTTTGTAGAGGCGAGGTCTCACTGTTAACCTCTAGGTTGGTCTTAAACTCCTGGACTCCAGCAATCCTCCCACCTCAGCCTCACAAAGTGCTGGGATTATAGGCATGAGCCACTGCACCCAGTCTTTGTTTTTTTGTTTTGTTTTGTTTTCTTTTGTTTTAAGAGACAGGGTCTCGTTTTGTCACCCAGGCTGGAGTGCCCACAGCTCACTGCAGTCTTGAACTGATGGCCTCAGCCTCTGTGTAGCTGGGACTACAGGTATGCACCATCAGGCCCCCCCCCCGCCTTTTTTTTTTTTTTCGGTAGAGACAGGGTCTTGCTTTGTTGCCCAGGCTGGTCTTGAGCTTGTGACTCTTGTCTCTTCTTGCTTTCTATGCATCCTCCCAGTATCTGTTCCCTCCTCCTCTTTCTCCACTAGGTGGTTTCCTCTTAGTTTAAGCTTCATGATGCCAGTCATAGCAATTTGAGCCTTAACTGTGCATGCTTTTTCAGTTCCAGCACTCAAGAACCGGCCAGAAATTTCCTTTGTGATGCTTATTTCAAATTGATTGACCTAATCATTTTTTTTTCTTTCCAAGCAGTGATAAACAAGTCTTTGGTCACTACTAGCTGATGATGAATTTCTTCTAGGTCAGATATCTAACTCCAGCACAAACAGCCAAGGTCAGGGAGAAAGACTGGGTACTTGGTTCAGTGACCAATCAGTGAGGCTAAGGGTCTGGATTCTAAAAGGTGGTGTGAGTAGGGCAGTTAATGTTTGGCATTTCTTTCAATAGTTATTTTTCACTAATGTTGCTTTATATTCAGTGGTCACCTTCAGTAGTATACATTATGTTGAATTATTTTTAATTAAAAAAAATCACATAACTTCAAGAAAATAAGTCACAAATATAGAGAAAATTATCCTGAATATCAGAGGAAAGAGTGTATTTAGCACCAATAACAATATTATATACATAGAAAGTACAGGTTGAAAAAAAGCATCAATGGCCTAACAAAAAGCAGAATATACTTTTATAGATCACAGAGTTGTAAGAATGGCAGGAGAATGACCTGGGGTTTACAGGAGCCACAGTCCATAGGTTTCAATATTACAAAGTAGTTTTTAAATTTTAAAGTAAAAAAAAAATAAATTTTAATGTCAGCATAATAGGAAAATATGCTTATTAGAAAGGAAAAAAAATTATACACTCTACTTCAGCCACCATGACTTGAAAAATAATTTCATAAATGTTAGTGATCTGACTACTCAGATGTTTCTTTAGCTGTGGGCAATTTACTTTTTGCATTTCTGGTGCTTTCTTTCTTCCTTAGATTCCAAGAGACCCTGTGACAACATATATTCAGATACTGTGCAACTGGCTCCCATCCTCAAGATTCATCCTTTCACATAATTAACCTTGTGGGAACATAATCCATATTTTACTTAATCCAGAAACGTTTTATTGTACTTACAGTGCTATTTAATCCTTATGGGGCTTATCTTTGATTACTTCCTTTTCATTACCCTGGTAATTTGTAAAGTTGTCCTCAAGCAATCTAACTTGCTATTAAGCACTTCCACTGTGTATTCAAAAACTGGATACATTTTCATCTGAAATAAACTGTTTCTCATCTCAAAGTTATTTTTATAGTCTCTTTTAATCTTACTGAAAATTCAAATTACATCTTTGCTTTAGTTATTGCCTTTTATAGTAACAGTCTCAAAGGGAACATTAACTGATCCTTCAGATATAATTGTTTTTAGAATTACTTGTTCATTGACATCTGGTTAAGTTTGTCTGCTGTCAGGAGTTGAGATGGACATTATCAGATTGGATGGCTCAATATTCAAGTCTTTTATGCCTAAGGGAAGCAGAGTTTATTTGTTGTATACCTTGTCAGATGAAAGATCCAGTTGTTGGAAGGAATCGCTAGAGCTGAAGGCAATCACTCAAGGAACTTCACTGTGGTAACTTAGGACAGTAATTCTCAAAGTGTGGTCTCCAGACCAGCAGCACTCGCCTCACCTTTGAACTTGTTAGAGAGGCAAGTTCTTGGGCCCCATTCCAAACCTCCTGAATCAAACTGGGGGTATGGCCCAGCTAAGTCTTGGTAAGCACTCCTGGTGATCCCAATATACTTGTTTGAAGTGCTTTACCATAACGAACTCTCCTTCCCCCACTCTTCTCTAAACAGGCATCCTAACTCTTGACTAATTCCCAACACTGGGCTTAGTATGCCATTTGTTAACAAACATAAACTGGGAATATTTGGTCTGGTATCAATTATAGCAGCACCCTGTGAACATTTATAATTAGAATTGAGATTTGCCCCTTTACTAATTCAGAACCACTATCTCTAAATAGAGGGCCTCATCCAGCTACCTTTACTTCAATGGGTGCTAGAGACTAGCCCTCCTCCCAGTCAGTGTTAGTGTTAAGTGTTGCCTACAAAAATTCCACTTTTCTGGCATGTGGAATGAACTCTTCATTTTCAGCATTGATGTTTTCCTCCGTACTTGAATTAAAAGGCAATTTTATCTGTGATTAACATCCCATCTCTTGATTAATATCCCATCTCTTTCCATAAAAATACTTGAAGTGGTTTGCAAAAACTGGCAAGCAGTAATTCAAAAAAATTAGAAAATCAGAAAATGAAACAACTATGACCTATATGCATGTATCTCCATTGTTTATGGAAGCCTTGGAGAACAACAGAAATAGATAGTATTCATAGACAATTTCAGATAACATTTGGCAAAAATTTAAATGTCAATTATTTCAAAGATAGTAAACTGAGGTGTTTACAAAGTGGTGCAGTACACACAGTATAGGCATTGGAGTCAAATACCTTAGCTCAAGTCATAGCACTTAACTGGCATTTTAGCTTTAAAAAAATCATCTTCATTACCTGTAAGTTATAACCACAGGTGAGGGGTAGATAATTAAGTACTTGATGTGATTTTCAAGGCACCAGGTAGGTTTACTCCTACCTCCTCTTCTGAGTGCCCCACCATGCTTAAAAATCTTTTCCCTTCCCCAAATAGAGTTTATGATTATCACTAAAAATAAATTATTTATTTAACAAATATGTGTACATGTATCACCAGTCACCCTCTGATCTTTCAGAACAAATCAGGATGTATTAAGTAAATTACCTTAGTTAATAAGTGTCAGTTTATTTTCCTTCAGGAAGGACTTCCCTCCCTTGTATAAGGGGGTACTTAACATGTACCCCAGAACTGTACCCATCAAAACCAAGTTTCCTTTACAGTCAGGAATTTTAAAATATACTTCTGAATATCTTAATGCTATTAAATATACCTTTGAAGTTCCATGTGATTTGAATTTTCTGAGCATGGCTAAGTGTTGATTATACTTGATGCTGAAATTTTGCCCTATCATACAGGGTGATAAAAAGTGTTCATGTCAGACCCAGCTGCAACAAGAAGATGAAGGGTCAAGACAGTTTACACTGTAAAGCTTCAAAGAGACTACCTGTACCTAAGAATAACCAATTTCAAGTACAGAATTCTTTAATATTAAGAAAAAGGAAATAATCTATGTGGGCCTATTATGTTCAATGCTTAGTCTGTGCTAGGCTGTTTACATTGCTATTATAATGAATTTATTTTTACTGAGCTCCAGTAGAATAAGAAAAAAAAAGTTTAAGTGGAAAAATATTAAAAATTAAGAAGAGCTAATTACATAAAAGAAATTTCAGGAATGGCTAAGTGCCAATGCATGGAGTGGTTAAGTGGCAATAGTCTTTTTCAATTATTTTTATTACAGTAAGAGGAATTTTACTCTTAATGCATAGAATCTGAAGAAAAAAATTATATAAGCTTTAAAAGAGGCCTTTTTAACAATTATTAATACAAATGTGAAACAAGACCCTTCAAACAAATACCAATTTCAGTAATAGTTTACATACAGCAATAATTTATTCTGAAATGTTCATTTAGTTTCTGTTGAGACACAATTCATGTCTCATTAATAAAAGAGCAGCCATCTCACCTCAAATACCAGAATATACAACAAATTACAGCATAGCAAAAATTCTACCTACTTTCAGATAAAATCTAGTTCAGGTAAAATAGTTTCATTCAATGTTGTACAGTTACACAGATTTTTGTTTTCTTTTGAGCACAAAATAGTGTAAATTATTACACTGTAGCTATCTCTATGCACATCATGTGACCACGTAACTGTTAATCATTACCTCTGAAATTGAACCATCGGTTTCATTCATGCAGTAAAGCAAAGCAGGCTGGGTAAACTTGTTCATTGGGAACCATATTACTGTGAATTTCACAGCCACATGATTAATTATGATGTTAGATGGACTCACAAAGACAAAAACATTTTCTTTTTTTGCATAAATACCAATTTTTCCCTGATGTAAGTTTAGTCAGTTTATAATCTAGAAATGATTGATAACAGCAATATATCATATTTTCTATCTGTAGTGTTCATTAAGACAAGCAATAATTAAAGGAAATTGGGATGGGATGCTACTTAAACATATGTAAAACATACTGTACAAACATACTTGGCTTTACTATTTTTTTTCCTAACCATCAAGAGTGCTTCCCAAAATAAGACCAGTGAAGACAAAGTATACTATCAAATATGGCTTCCAGAACAAAAACCCTCTAACAAGAATCCAACCTATTTACAAAATTGTTTAGTCTTTTAAAGTTTCATTTGAAACAAAATATCTATATAGCAGTTGTAATTAACATATAATTATCTTAGTTTCATTCTTCCAGCTCTTTTAAACAGATGTCACAAGGTAAGACCCAGAATGGCGCTTAGGACTTTGGGTTCCACTGGAATCTGTGCTGTCAGTTTTTGAATCTCGCTTCTTTGTGTTATTCACTGGAGTTGGGATCTGAGATGGCCGGGCTGAAGTGCTATCTGCACTGCTTTTCCTGGGGCTTGGGTTGTAATTAAAAGGAGTCACTCTGGCAGCAACAGTCCCACTAGGTGAACTGTGTTTGCTTGAGCTGCTAGAACTAAATGGGGTACGTTCCACTATAGAACTTTCATTAGTCTCTGATGCAGGGACAGGATTATTTTGTCCTGGTTTTGTCTCAGTTCCTTTTTGGTCAGGGGCATCTACCTGAATGAAGGAGTTCAGGCGATTTTCCAAACCCACGGTACGCATGGGAACACTGCCATTACCCACATTTTGTTTTGCCTGATTATCTTTTGCATCTTTAATGTTTGGATTTCCCTTTTCTGAAACACTGTCAATCACTGGGGGAGTATTACCTGTGGGAGATCTACCAGATCTAGGGTTGTTAATGGGACAGTCCTCAATTCTCACCCAAACATCCTCTGTTTTAGAAACAGCAGGTGCCATTTGATAAATTAGGGTCTTTGATTCAGCACCATTGGTAGCACCTGAGGAAACAGTCTGAGAAGTACTATTTGTGGGAGAAATTTCATTTTCTTTTATTTTTCTCCATGTTCCCTTTGCGGATACTTGGTTTTCTTTATTTTGTTTGGTTCCTGAAATAGAGTTCACATGTTTTTCATCCTCACTTTTTGCTTTTTCACTGGATTCTGATGAAGCAGAAAGAATTGAAGATGAACTTCCAGTTCTTCTCCAAGTGCTTACTCGGGGAAGGGATGATGAATGTTTGCTGTGCTCACGTTTCCAGGTTCCTGACCTATTGATTGGCAGTCTAGAAGGACTTTCAGAATGAGACCGTGCAATATCATGCCGCTTTGCTGGTCTTCCATCATTATACTCTATAGTGGGGCTGAGATTAGGTGGGAGTTTTCGCCATCCACCAGGCTGAACAGATGAATGTGTGGATAGAGACATATCAGGAAGGGAAGGACTTAAAACTGGAGTTTGTGCCTGGGACCTAGTGGGAGAAGCTGGTCTAGACGATGGAGAAAGAGATTCAAATGAAGCAGATTCCTCCAATTTTCTTCGTAAGGTTGGGCTTGGAGCTTCTTTGATGAAAGTTGACTGGCGTACTAATACAGGTCTTTCTGATCTATCAGATTCACTTCCACTTGATTTAGTTGAAGACATTCTAGAAAGTTCTACCTTTTTATTGGCTCCATTGCCATTATTCATCTGATTTAGTCCTTTGGAGGCAGACTCACTTCTTGGAATACTACTGGCATTCTTGGATAAACCTGTTTGTTTGGTAAGGTTCTGTTGGCTCATCTGTCTGCCTGGAGATGTATACGACATTTTTCCAGAACCTGAGGACTTAGTTGAAGCAGTACTGGGGGAAGATGTCCTTGGAAGCTGAGATAATTTGTTAGGAGGACTTATTCCATTTCTACCAGGGGAAATAGAGTTTCGCCCAGGAGACTGTATAGGTCTACTTAATGGTTGCTGGGCTGGTCTTGACGGGGTCGAATCTCTAGATCCTGATCTAGAAGGCGCTTTACTTGACCCACCTATTTGGGATGTCTGCCTGGCAACAGGGCTTAATTCTGATTTCACAGATGGCTTGGCTCCTCTAGGAGAAGTGGTGGCTGTCTGACCTTCACTAGGGCTTTTGGAGGCTTGGGTCTTAAGTGGGGGGCCTTTTTTAGAAACAGGACTTGTACTTGAGGAGCTATTTCGAACTCCTGGAATATGAATCATTGTCCTGCCTCGAGAGATTGAAGGCATGTTTGCTTGAAGAGGCTGTTTCATTTGGCCTGAAATTTCTGAATTAGATCGAACCTTTCCAGTAATCAAACTTCTATAAACTTTTTTTCCTCCTTTGATTCCTTTACTTTCAGATTCTATCTTTTTAGTTTCCAAGGTACTTTTCTCCCCTGGTTTTAGAATTCGTGGGCCTTTATTACTTGTAAAGGGTTTTTCTTCTTGATCAGGTGTAAGATGAAATGGTGACCCCAGAGAGATTCCTGATTTCAAGGAAAGGATGGAATCGGAATCAGATGAAGCTTGTCTAGATAAACAGGCAGCAGCAGCAGCTTGATGTAAACTACTCACTATGGAATTTGCACCTTCCTGAATAGCTTTCCAATCAAAATTTTCTGAATCAGGGGATAAACCATGTTCTGAATCTGGTCTCTGTATATCTTTCAAATCAAGTGTCAGATCTTCAGCTAATATGCCACCCATATTTCTGGGGCTATGTTTTTCATTATCACCCTTGAGTCTTGAAGGCTTTTTCTTTTTTGGCATCGCGGAACTTATACATTCCTGCAGCAGGTCATCTTCAGAATCAATACTAAGAGAACTGAGAGAACTGTTTCTTGAGAAACAAACGGGGGTATCTTCAACATGAAACGATTTAGGAGCATAGCCTGATGCTTGAGGTTTACTTGGTTCTCCCTGTGAGTCAGGGGGCTCAGTCCCTTTGATAGGTTCATTTTCTTTATTGTTGTTGTTTTCTTGGTCAATGTCACTGAGAGAACTCAGAGAGGAATTATGAGAAAAGCAAACTGGAGTATTTTCAATAGCAAAATTCTGTAATTTTTCATCAGTTGCTGCCCCTCTGTCTGGTATATCTTTGGATGACTGGGGAAAAGTGGATTGTTTCTGCAGTACGGGTTTTGGCTGACCTCGATTTATTGGCTGCTTTGTAATAGCTTGTGTCTTATTAGCTGATTGTTGGTTGGAGGTTAGTTCTGTGTGGCTGGTAACTTTAGCTTCTGATTCCTTATTTTCTTTCCCCTTTCTTAATTCAGCCTTTTCTCTGGAAAGGTCAACATCATCATCATCAAAATCTAGGGAACTCAAAGAATCATTTCGTGAAAAACAGTAAGGAGTTCCTTCAATAGGTGTATAATGATGAGGTGAATCAAAAGCAAAACTTCCTCTGACTCTATCTTCATTATTAGGGAGCTTATCATTGAAGTCCTTGGAATTATTTTTCAAGTTCTGTTTCTTTGAATCTTTGTTGTCTGAGAAAGCTCTCTCAGCATTTAAATTATTTTTTGAGTCTACATTTTTTCTTACACGTGTCCTATATTCAGTATTTTGTGGTATAGGTTTTACTGGTGAAGTAGGTTTCTTTTTCTTACCATCTAACTGATTTTTGTTGGTTGCAGATGAAGACGCAGATGCTTGCTGGACCTGGTCCATTATCTTCTTCACACGGAAAGGCTTGTGACTTTTCCCTTTGGGCATAGCGGAATTAATGCATTCTGCAAGAATATCACCTTCTTCTGCTTTATTGTCATCCAATTCAGGTATGGTTACAGATGAGTTTTTTCCTCCTTGAGCCTCCTCTGTACTTCTGCCTTCTGTAGGAATGGTATCTCGTTTTTCAAATTCACCTGACTGTGCCCCTGCTCTAACTCCTTCTCCAGCAGCTAACTCATTTGGAGGGGATTCTATTGTTAGATCACTTAAAGATGTAGCTGTGGAAAAGTTTATAGGTGTCCCTTCTACACAATATACACGTGGCATATCATCTCCCGGTGTAAAACTAACATGCTTTTGGGGTTGCAACCTGTTTTGTGATGGTAGAAGTTTGTACACAGGCAGCTGACTTGGTTTCCTTGCCACAGGTGGAGGTAATTTTGAAGCAGTCTGGGCTGGCTTTTTTGCTTTATGTGATGACTTTGTCGGCATAGCAGAAATAATACATTCTTCTAGTATTTCAATATCATCATCATCTGAATCATCTAATAGGTCCTTTTCAGAATCAACAGTTTTTTCTACCTCTTTCTCCTGGTTTTCATTTGATTCTTTAGGCTGCTCTGATTCTGTTTCATTCCCATTGTCATTTTCCTGAACGGGAGGCATTATTCTTAATTCCACATCTTTCTGTATAAATGGCTCATCGAGGCTCAGAGCACTCAGGCTAGATGAACAAGAAAATCCATCTGGAGTACTTTCCGTGGCAAAATGTAATAAAGTATCAGCATCTGGAAGAACCTGGACCCTCTGAACTGCAGCGTTTACTGCAGCTTGCTTAGGTCCACTCTCTCTCTTTTCAGCACTAGGTGCTTTACTTTTAGGTACTTCTCGCTTGGTCTGAGCTGTTTGGGGAGGAGGTGGAGGGGTTTTACTTCTGCTTGGTGGCATGGTTTGTCCAGGGCTATCTGGGAGATCACTGGGGCTTATAATGCCACTTACCATTCCACTGCATGGTTCACTCTGAACAGAACTAGCAATTGAACGACTCTCGAAACTATCAAGTGAACTGACAGAAGTACATCTGCTAAACATGAGTGGAGTCTCCTGCACATAGTGTTCAGGAGGACTTTTGGGTGTCTGAGCACCACTTTTGGAGGGGGATTTTGCTCCTGAAGAAAATTCAACAGCTTTGTGTCTGGTCGATTCTGAAGATAAACTAGAACCCTGCAGTCTGCTGGATTTGGTTCTAGTGTGCTGCGACACTGCTGGAACTTCGCTCACAGGATCTTCAGTTGACCTAGTTCCATTATTTTCTTTTATTTCTGCTATTTGCAGAGTATTAGCAGAATCTGCTTCCTGTGTCGTCTGATCACATCCTATTTCATCTTCAGCTGATGACAAAGATGATAATGAACTACATCTTGAAAAACATATTGGGGTATCTTCTACACAGTAAGTCTGTATTGTTTCTTGGTTAATAGAAGAAACTTTGCAAGTGGCAGCCTTTTGAGTCTGACCACTTCTGTTCTGTGCAGAACTTGGATGAAGCTGATTCTGCCTCTTGGCAGTAGATGAAGGTGTGGATGTATTCTCACTGCTTGAAGAGATGTGTTCAGTTTTAGTGCTCTGGCCAGATGAACTCTTTGAGAATGAAAATGACTGTTTCTGTGATGAAGGAATATCTGTAGAATATTTTAAACTATAATCAATAGGCTGATCCACAAGATGTTTCTCTTCATTATATTTTATGCTATAATTTGTTGGTCTCTCTTCTTCTTCATGCTGTTCTTCCTCAGAGTAACGTTCACTATAGTTGGTTGGCTTATCATCTTCATAGTCATCTTCTTGACACAAAGACTGGCTTACATTTTGATTAATCCCATGATTAGAACCTACTCGATTTGTTTCTGAACCATTGGCTCCCCGTGACCTGTATGGGGAAACACATTCCTGCTGTCCAAAATGTGGTTGGAACTTGAGGTGTTTATCATCAGTGGTCTCAGTATACACAGGATAAGTTGTACTTTGACTCCTTGATTGTCTTTGCTCACTTTGTTTCATTTCATCTTCTATTATGTGTTTGGGTCTTGCCCATCTTTCATTCTGTGAAGGACTTTGCCTTCCAGAGTTCAACTGCTCATCTGAATATTTCAGACTGTAATTTATTGGTGTATCTAGTTCTCCATCATTATCATCCATATGATTTGCACTATGTATTTTATGGGCTAGGTCAGCTGGGTATTGACCATAACTGCAAAACTTACTTTCATCATCTTCAGAATAGGATTCAATTGAGGGTTTCATTTGACCTCTTTTACCATAACCATCACTACTACTGACACTATTTAAACTATCATTCGAAGATCTCTTGTATTCTAATTTGGCATAAGGCATAGAACATGTCCTGTTTGAATTTTCTGACTTGGTGAAATTGTAAGTGTTTGAATGTGTATGGGCAGTAGAATTTCTTCTAAGTGCATTTCTCTCATCTGTCACACAATGTAATTCAGTGGTAGACCCAGAACTTCTGTCTTCTTGAGAGGTATGAATGGCTGACACCTCTTCCATGACTTTGGCAATCTGGGCTGCAGTGGTGGAGATCTGCAAACCTCGCTTTGAAGAGGTTCCTGGATTTTCTGTTGCTGGATGGTAGTTGCCTAGGCCAACTCCTCGTTCTCTCTCCAAACTTCTATCTTTTTCAGAACGAGAACTATCTAAGCTTCCTCTTGATGAAGAGGAACTGGGTAACACTGTAGTATTCAAATATGGTGAAAGGACAGTCATGTTGCCAGTATTAAAATTTTCTGACCTATTATCATCATGTCGATTGGTGTCAAAAACATAATCACCATAGAGACTTTGCTTGTGTCTCTGCTTACTGCGATGAGATGCCTTGGGACTTAAATTGTCTATATTGTCAAAAGTTTCTGATAAATGCTGAGCATCTAATTCTGCTTCTAGGGCTTTCTGTTTCCTGACATGAAGAGATGGCAAGCTTGAACCAGGAGACATAATATTGGCATCTTTATACTTTGCAGGCCTATTTGCCATGAGATTCCTTAAAGCTGCAGCACTTCCCATAGCAATCATTTTGTGCTTTGAATGAATGAGGTTCTTGAGCATGCTAACTGCCCCCATGTCCCATAATGCTTCCTGGTCTTTAGGATTTCTTGCTGAGAGATTCCACAAAGTTCCACATGCATTACTGACTATTGTCAAACTATGAGATTTTAAGTGTTGTAATAAAGTCTGTAGACAGTTGTTCTCTCTTAGGATTTGCCTGAAATAAGAGATCACAAAATTAACGTCAAAATGTGTATGCAGTAACAACAAATAAAAGGAGAGAAAACAATAGGCATAGTATGATTGTACCAATTATCCTATAAATTCCAAGTATTCCACATCTCCTTTTTTCTTTCTTATTTCATGTAACGTTTACTGTTTTAAAGTACTAATCTGTCACACGAAAAAAAGTAGAAGTTTTTTTTTTTTTATCAATTCTACACTTCCTATTCTGACTCAATAGCTTAAAACAGTTGCAGGGGGTAGGGCAAATACATTTATTCTGTTCATATGGTAACAGTTTCCCCATTTAAAAACTATAAATAAATCATGAAATCCTATGTTGAACAGGGACTTTCTGGTAACTTCATCTATGGTTGGGTGTCACTCTGATATTGATATTGAGACAACTTGGAAGAGGTAGATAGAATTGATTGAAGATCTTTCTGCAGTCAGCACATTATAAGCTCTTAGATTAGCACACTTATATTTTAGAGTAATCTCTGTATCTCTGCCTTGATTTTGTGATACTACTATCCCTCTTACAAGTGCTCTTGGCCGGGCACAGTGTCTCAACCCTGTAATTCCGGCACTCTGGGAGGCTGAGGTGGGCAGATCACCTGAGGTTAGGCGTTTGAGGCCAGCCTGGGCAACATGGTAAAACCCTGTCTCTACTACAAATACAAAAATTAGCCGAATATGGTGGCACATGCCTGTAGTCCCAGCTACTCAGGAGGCTGAGCAAAGAGAAATTACTTGGGAGGCAGAGATGTAATAAGCTGAGATCAAACCACTGCACTCCAGCCTGGGCAACAGAATGAGAATGCATCTCAAAAAAAAAAAAAAAAAAAAAAAAAAAAGGGCTCTTTGGCAGACTGTGTGCTTATTTATTTATTTTTTAAATAAAGTAAGTTAAAGTTTTCAAAAACATTTAAGGCATATAAAAACAAAAAGTGAGAATCAGCATAATTAACTCTGAGACTTGAAAGAGCAAGAGCTTGTTTAACGCAGGCAAACTGAAGATTAATGACAGCATATTCAACTTTAGTGGGCTTTAAAACTGACTGACAAGGGTACACAACAAGCTTTAACATGGTGGTCTTCTCTCAGCAGTCCAGTCAGTAGTTACTAGACTTAAGAAATCTTCTTTGCATAGCAGAAAAGGAGACTAGGCTTGTAGTTTTTGCATCAAAAACTTAAAAGTGAATAAGCTATAAAAGATACCCATATTTGCCGGGCGCGGTGGCTCACGCCTGTAATCGCAGCACTTTGGGAGGCCGAGGCAGGTGGATCATGAGGTCAAGAGATTGAGACCATCCTGGTCAACAAGATGAAACCCTGTCCCTACTAAAAATACAAAAAATTAGCTGGGCATGGTGGCGCGTGCCTGTAATCCCAGCTACTCAGGAGGCTGAGGCAGAATTGCCTGAACCCAGGAGGCAGAGGTTGCGGTGAGCCGAGATCGCACCATTGCACTCCAGCCTGGGTAATAAGACCAAAACTCCATCTCAAAAAAAAAATAAAAAAAGATACCCATATTTTTGGCCAGCTGCCCATGCCTATAATCCCAGCACTTTGGAAGGACAAGGTGGGCGGATCACCTAAGGTCAGGAGTTCAAGGCCAGCCTGGCTCACATGGTGAAATCCCATCTCTATTAAAAATACAAAAATTAGCCAGGCATGGTGGTGGGTACCTGTAATCCCAGCAACTCGGGAGTAGTAAAAGCAAAAGTGAGGGACCAAAAGTATAAAATACAGGTGAAGGTAGAGTAGAAAAATAAATCTACAAATCTAGATTCTGTGATCAGGAGAATCACTTGAACCCCAGAGGCAGAGGCTGCAGTAAGCAGAGATTGCACCACTACACTCCAGCTTGGGCAAAAGAGCGATACTCCATCTCCAAAAACAAACAAAAAAGACAGTTGTATTTTTGTTGACATAATACAAAGTCAGAGTTCCGAAAATGTGTGCCCTGTATCTGAGGCACTCTCTTAGATTCTCCAGCTCTAGCAGATTGGATGAATGGCTGTTAGCGAAATAATACTATGATTATTAGCTGGACACGGTGGCTCACGCTTGTAATCCCAGCACTTAGAGAGGCTGAGGCGGGTGAGTCACTTGAGGCCAGGAACTCAAGACCAGCTGAACAACATGGTGAAATCCCATCTCTACCTAAATAGAAAAATTAGCCGGGCGTGGTGGCGTGCATCTGTAGTTCCAGCTAGTTGAGAGGCTAAGGTGGGAGAATCACTTGAACTCAAGAGATGGAGGCTGCAGTGAGCCGAGATCGCAACACTGTTCTCTGGCCTAGGTGACAGAGTGAGACACTGTCTCAAAAAAAAAAAAAAAATTATGATTATTGATACTAAGACAGCATTAGAAAAATGTGAACCTTTATATTCTCTGGATCATGCTCATAGTTTTTGTCTTGTTTTAAATTTTGTTTTCCTGTTCTTTTATACTATACTAATAGAAAGTGATTATTTTGTTCTAATATTTGTGACTATTTTTTCCTCCACATATGGGCTATACCTCTCAACTATCGTTTGCTCAGTCTCCTTTATGATACTATAAACTGTTATAAATTAAGTACACTAATGAGTTAAACTAATAGTAGTTATCTTTTCACAGTAATAAATATATTTTGGCTTAAAACTTTTATGATTATATAAAAAACTGCTTACAATTAAGTCTTTTTGAGAGTACAAATTATATATTTTAAAAGTAATATAAAACTCTGTATATACCTGTGGTCCTCATTTGTAGCTATCAAGCTGGACACATTCCGTAATATCCCACCTCCACTTTCAATAATGGCTAAAGTGTTTGTCTGGCTCCGGTAAGTAAGAGTGCCAACCAAAAATGCAAGTGCACCATCTACGGCACATATGTCAGCTTTATTCTCAGTGCAATGTGCTGACAAATTCCATAAGGCACTCAGTACGCTTTTGAGGGTTGATTCCTATTAAGAAACAGAATATGGGTCATCTAATTAGAGTTGGAATTTGTCTCTTATTAACTTCTATATTACTTATATTGAATAAAAGCTATTTTTTTAATGTATCCTTTTGCCCGCCCCTCACTGGTAAATTATTAAGAACTTTCCATTTAGAAGAATGTTCATAAGATACCAAATGGTATTTACATCAGTGATATCTCTATAAAACAAGCAGTACACAATATTAAACTAATGACTTTTATAAACTTTATTCTAAGTGCTTAGATAGCACACATAACTTAGAATATGAAGCACAATTGATGTGCATTATGAAAAGATAACATTTTCAGAACAGAATGTGGATTATTCTCAGGCTGGGGTTGCTTGAAAAAAAGAAGAAAAAAGTGAAAAGGAAGTAGATTAAGGCCCAGTGTGTGGCTGGGCACAGTGGCTCATGCCTGTAATCCCAGCACTTTGGCAGTCTGAGGTGGGTGGATCACCTGAGGTCAGGAGTTCGAGATCAGCCTGGCCAACATGGTGAAATCCCATCTCTACACAAAAAAAAAAAAAAAAAAAAAAAAAAAAAAATATATATATATATATATATATATATATATATATATATATATATATAACTAGCTGGGCACAATGGTGGGTGCCTGTAACACACCTATTCAGGAGGCTGAGGTGGGAGAATTGCTTGAACCTAGAAGGTGGAGGTTGCAGTGAGCTGAGATCACGCCACTGCACTCCAGCCTGGGCGACAGAGCAAGACTCCATCCCAATTAAAAAAAAAAAAAAAAGAAGGGCTGGCATGGTGGCTCATCCCTGTAAATCCTATAATCTCAGCACTCTGGAAGGCCAAGAGGCATGACTGCTTGAGTTTAGGAGTCTGAAACCAGCCTGGGCAACATGGCGAAATCTTGTCTATATACATATACACACACACACACACACACACACACACACACACACACACACAAAAATTAGCTGGGTATGGTGGCATGCACCTGCAGTCACAGCTACTTGGGAGGCTGAGGTGAGAGGATCACTTGAGGATGGGAGGCGGTCAAGGCTTCAGTGAGCCATGACTGTGTCACTGCACTCAAGCCTGGTCAACAGAGTGAGACCCTGTCTCCAAAAAAAAAGTAGATTTAAAATATTCTATAAACCACACATAGATATGGAAAGATACCTTGGAAGTATAAATGACAAGAGCAAGAGCAAGCTGCAGTGTAGTGTAGTATATACAATATTCTGTTTATATAAAAAGCATTATATATACATGGTTGATTCAGAATTAACAATGTAACTTATAAAAAGAATAAAGGGTACCAGAAAAAGCTGTAATTTCTGAAAATTCCCAAAAATAACAAATTACAAAAACCCAGAACTCTCTAACATACGATTATCAAAGTAAACTGTCAAATTGTAATTGCCAAACACTCTGATATACAATTGAAAGTATTTGGTCAAAACTTGCCATGTGCTGGGTGTGGTGGCTCATGCCTTCTGGCCCAGCACTTTGGGAGGCTGAGGTGGGCGAATCGCTGAAGCCCAGGAGTTCAAAACCAGCCTGGGCAACATGGCAATACCCAATCTCTGCAAAAAATACAAAAATTAGCCAGGCATGGTGGTATGCACCTATAGGTCCAGCTGTTTGAGAGGCTGAGGTAGGAGGATAGCTTGAACCTAGGAGGTCAAGGCTGTGTGGCAGAGTGAGACCCTGTCTCAAGCAAAAGCAAAAACAAAACAAAACAAAACAAAAAACCAAATCCAAAACTTGCCATGATGGTGATGTCAATCTGTCTTCTTACTATGTATCAATCAGGAAATGAACATTAATTAGAAATCAACTCTGTGCCTATAGCAATGAGAGGCACTCCAAAGGATACAAACACAGCAAACTGATACCTGTGATTGAAGGTGCTAGCAATTTGCTTTAGGGGAAAAAAGATGCAAAAACATACATGAACTGAAGTGCTCCAAAGAAAAAATTATTACAGCCTGAATCTGGTCAAATAAATAAAATACTTCATAGAGGAGAACATCTCTTTAGGAGGATAAGAACTGTACATATAGAGAGAAGAGAAGCCAGTTGCTGCTGGCAGGGAAGTGGGAATCAGCATCAGAGCAGGGATGAACCAGAAAGAAGACGCAAAGGAGATCATAATCCATGATGGGGAACAGTGGGAAGTAAGCTCAGAGACAAAAGGCAGTCCTTGAAAGTCACAGCAAAGATTTTGGCTCTAACCCAATAAATAGCAAGCTACTTCATTCTCTACATCAAGAAATTAAGTGAACAAAACAATCTAGAAACAGGTTTAGACATAATTTGCCAGGTACGTGGTAGGAGGCAGGTAGGAAGTGCTTTTATGTGATAAGCGCTTTTATCCTTTTCACACCTTGGTTGATGTGAGAAGGAAAGAGCTCAATTTTAATTACATTGTGACTGAGATAAAGATGGGGCACTCCAAGTATCCTGAGAACAGAAAAAAAAGCAAGAATTTAAATAACTGAGTTAAGCTGCAACTGGCCCAGAACTAACTTGGAGATAGAAAAATACAAAAGTTCCTCTTTGTGAGACTACATGTCAAGGGCCAGGGGTTTTGTTTCAAAAAATGTTTTTATAGTGCAAATAAGAAGACATAAAATAAATAATTAGAGATTATTAATATAAGTAGTAAAAGCAAAAGTGACCACAAAGCATAAAATGCAGGTGAAGGTAAAATAGAAAAAAATAAATCTACAAATCTAGATTCTGTGATCAAAGAGAAGGATTGTGTCAGAAGCAAAATTAGGAGGAACCAAAGTTGGTATAGCCAGTTTAGAAACGAAGCAAGTGACTTGTTTAGGACTTTGGTTGTTACTGGAAAAGAGAAACACTAATAGAAGAAGCCACAGATAATTATATTTTTGTTTTCAAAATAGTGGGCTTCTTCTAGAGAGGTGAAATATAAAAAAGAAGGATCCAGTAGAGAAGATGTAGAAGACAAGAGTAAGGAACCAACGGCTTTACGTGAACAGAGCTGAGTGCTGGTAAAGGGAAGGCTCTAGAGTAAGAGCTCTGAGTGAGTTAAAGTGATGTGGAACATGCATGAGGGCTGGAAGGTAGTTCTGAGTCTCTTGCTCATTAGTAGCTGAAGTTGAGAGGGAACTGATATTGAATGAAAAAGGGAAAAAGAGAATGTTCATTACTGTTGCACTAAATGTAGAAAAAGAGGGAAAAAATAAATAAATTCTAATACTGCTAACCAGAATTAAATTAGACCCAAATCAGAACTGGATATTATAAATTTCTGACAGCTAGTTTTTCCAAGATTGACCATGAATTAAAAATTTATAGATAAGTTTAGATCCCTGAGGGAGAATTAAATCATGAACCAGTTAGCAGCAGTACAAATTCTCATAATATGTACACACACATGAAATCTTTCTGAAAATATACAGGTTATTAGATTAGTAGTATTTAAGTGTGTAAGCACTATTTTTTTGAACTTTATTGAAATATAGTTGAAGTATAAAAAACTGCATACATTTCAAGTTTACAATTTGATCATTTTTCATGCATGTATATACCCACAAAACCGCCAGTCCAATGAAGATAATGAACATTTATAACATCCTCAAAAGTTTCCTAGTACTCTCTCATAATCCTCCTCTTCCCTTCAACTCCCAACCCCAGGCCACCAGTGATCTGTTTTCTGTCACTACACATTATCGCATGTATCAATAGTTATTCTTTTTCATAGCCAAGTCATACTGCTTTGTACAAATCTTCTACAATCTGCTTATCATTCACCTACTGACAGACACAGTTATTTCTAGTTTTTGGCTAGCATAAATGAAATTATTGTGGATATTTGTGTGTAAGTCTACGTGACAGTGTAAAGTTTTTTGTTCCTCTTAGGTAAACCCTTAGAAGTGGAATGGATGGATCATATGGTAGGTGTATGTTTAACTTAAAAACACTGCCAAATGTTCTCCAAAGTGATCACACCATTTTACACTCCCACCAGCAGAATACATGATTTCTAGCTGCTCAACAGCCTTGACGATGCATGAGTCAATCTTTAAATTTTAACCAATATGGTATGTGTAACGGTATCTCATTGTAGTTTTAATTTGCATTCACTGATGATTAATGATATTAAGTATCTTTTCAAGGGCTTATTGGCCATATTCTTTTCTGAAATGTCTTCTATCCATTTAACAGTGTTACAGGTGTTTTTATGCAGATGCTAAGTCTATCTGAATATTATCTTTATAACTAATAATTCAGCTGAGTACTTTTCTATCCAATAAATTTTCAAGGATTTCCCAGGAATAAAATAATATATTTTACCAAAATTGTATAACTAAACAAACGAAAAAACAAAATCTTTTGCCTTTTCTGAAGAGGAAAGTTTTGAAGAAGAAAATGTAGGCTGTGGGTGTAGGAAGACTAGTTGGGTCAAGGGAGGCCTAGACTAGCTAAGGCGACTTACTTGGTCCCTCTCAGATTTCAAGTTCACTTTATTTTTCTTTTTAAATTTGACCTAGTTTCTGAAGCAGATGGACTGCCTGGAGATACTTCCTTCTGTAAACAAATTATTATTTGGTGATTCCTCACCCTTGGCTCTGATCACCTCTTGATAAGTTGACCATCAAAATTTGAGGGAATTGAGATTTGGAGAGCACAAAAGTAATGCTTATGCCAGTGGTTCTTAATTAGCAGTGACATTGTCCTCCCTCCCTCCCAGGGATATCTGACAATATCTGGAGACAATCTGATAATCATAACTGGTGGGGAGGGTTTATTGGCAGCCAGTTGGCGAAGGCCAGGGATGCTGCTAAACAATCTACAATGCACAAGTCAGCCCCAGCAAAACAAACAACTATCTGGTCAAAAATGTCTATTTTGCTGAGCTGAGAAACCCTGATATACATGAAATCCCCTTGTATAATCTTTCCTACCTTAGTACTTTAGGAGTCTGTAGTACTGTAAAACTATGGACTGGTGAGATAAACAGGTAAGAAATTAGGGAATCTAATGGCTAAAAGAAGGCAGCAAAAAAAGCCAAACATGATATTCATATAGTACTAAATGCTTTCGAAGGTACCTTTTTAACTTCCAAAGCACATTCCATCAATGCTTTCACACTTCCAACTTCCCGCAATGTCTTTTTACTATTTACATCTGCTCGCCAAGACAAATTCCTCAAAACACTTGCAATAACCTGCAAATTAATCAATTTTAGATTAATTTATACATAAAATAATTCATACTACTTGTTTTTTTGTTTCTAATGCTAGAGGTAAGAATAGAAATCGGTTAAGAAAGAAATTCTGGCTAGGTGTAGTGGCTCACACCTGTAATCCCAACACTTTGGGAGGATGAGGCAGGAGGATCTCCCGAGACCAGGAGTTCAAGACCTTCCTGGGTAACACAGTGAGACCCTGTCTCTACAAAAACTTTTTAAAAATTAGCTGGGGGTAGTGGCATGCACCTGCAGTAATCCTAGCTACTTGGGAGGCTGAGGCAGGAGGATCCTAGGAGCTTGAGGTTACTGTGAGCCATAATCACACCACTACATTCCAACCTGGACAAGAGAGGGAGACCCTGTTTAAAAAAAAAAAAATTCCTCCTAAAAGCTACTAGAGTGCCAAAAAGAATTTCTACTGTGTAACTACAATATAACTAGTTTTCTTTTTCTAGTGTTAATGGAACTATGTTTTAAACATGAGATACTAAATACTGAGCGACAGTCTATATCAGGATATTAGCTGGGTGTGGTAGCACACGCCTGTAATCCCAGTACTTCGGGATGCTCCTGAAGTGGGCAGATTGCTTGGTCCAGGAGTGGTGAAACCCTGTCTCTACAAAAAACACAAAAATTCATTAGGCATGCTGGTATACACCTGTGGGTTCAGCCTCAAGAGGATAAAGTAGAAGAACTGCTTGAACCCAGGAGGCAGAGGTTGCAGTGAGCTGAGATTGTACCACTGCCCTCTAGCCTGGGCAACAGCATGAGACCTTGCCTCAAAGAAAAAGAAAAACAGTTGAAATTCTAAACAGTACCTGCTGTAAGTCTTCACTTTCAGATTTTAGTTGGGCCACAAGTGCTCTCATGCAGCCTTTCATAGAGCATAGCGTAGCCTGCAAATTAGATACAGAGCAGAGGATCATCAAAAAGACAACTTGAAGCCAAGCTTTATTTTTGGCTACTAAATGTCAAATTCAGTTTTCTTTATTTTGTTTTAATCGTAACAGATATTTTACCCATAAAAAATCTAGAATAAGATTACCTAAATAAGAGACAAATATTCCCCAATTCTTTGCTATCTGTTCTTCCTTTGCCAAACTGGAGAAATAAAGTGAATAAATGGTAAGAAATGATAAGCAACAGGTTTTAGAGTAAAGTCTCTTATTTGGATGGAATCAATGTGTTATGTGTAACACTTGCCTTGGTTATAAGAATTTTCAGATTTTTTTAATCTCATTCCTAGGAAATGTTTTATCTTTTATTTTTTAATTCTACACAGTCAGACAAAATTCTCTAGTAATGGGTCACAGAAATGACCCCTACAATTATATTTTTATGAACAATGTTTTTAATAAAATTACATAAATTCACTGCTGTGTTCCATCTGCAGATACACCGTTTGCCATTGTTTAGGCAGAAGACAACCCAATGAGTAAAGATAAGCAGATATGAAGCACAGGTTTTTATTAGTTGTTAGGTTTAATGAGGAGAGTGACAAAAACAAAATCAGTAAAATGTGTTTGTATGAAAGCAAATTAACTGAACTATCTTAAGAAATGTATGTTATAAAAATATACCTTGTTGGCTACATCTCCGAAAGTCAAGTTTGTCAAAGCCATTCCAGCATATCGTCTTAGTGTAATACTGTAGTGGTCATTAGTAAGCCCATACATTTCACAGTCCACTTGCAATAACTCTGCAATGGCCTGTAGTCCCCCTAATTTAAAAAGGGCAAGAGGAAAAAGACAATCATCTAAAATAAAACAAACTGGTACCAAGTTGGTAACTTAAATATTAGAAAAAAAATCTCAACAAATGAGAATATATGGTTTAAATTCATCTTTAGAATTTTAAGCCATAAAACCTGTTATAAAGGACTTTTGTGTAATATATTTATAAAGTACAACTGACACCTATTCCATTTATGCAAGCTTCTCCACCCTCCAGCCCCTTATCTTACTGAGTGAAATAATAATTATTTTCTATTTACTGCATATACACTACACTTTGCCAACAGTAAAGAAGGCTATTTCCTAACACTAGTTCTTCCTGAACATAAGCAGAAAAAGGTAACTACTTCTTATTACTAGGGCTTTATAAACACTCTTTATTGTCACATACTATGGCCTAATTACTTTTTTTTTTTTTTTTGGCAAATAATTACCCTTAGGAATACTGATGCCTTTAAATGAAACTGTGCATGAAGAAAAACTTTTTTCTATGAAAAATGATTGTCTGTTCAATTTATTGTTATATAAAACTACTTATTTCTGTTTTTAAAAACATTTCTTACTTCTCTTTGGTAGTATCAAATACAACTACAGTAAGATTTAGTATTTTCTTTCCCCTGATTCTCTCTACTGAAAACGCTCAATAATGCCCTCAATGGCCAACACTAGGAAGTACAGGAGAAAACAAAGGCAAAGGAAAGGGAAAGACACAAAGGAAGCAGCTAAAAAAAAAGTGAAGCAAAAGTGAACAAAAGAGAAAAATGTATATGGAGACTATTCAAAATATAATTCATCAAATACTAATCATCATGGGACTCAAAAAGAAAAAGATGAATATAAGTAGGCAATTCTTAGACCCTACAAGTCTAAATAGGTCATTCATTGGAAAGAGAGCCAGTGCATTAATATTTTTAAAGTGATCTGGAAAGATCAATATACAGAAGAATCTGCAAGTTTATAAAACAAAGTTCTGACTTGGCTCAAGAATCCTAAGCCAAGGGATTTAACTGTAGGAAGATTTATGCAAATCTTTATGACCAGCAGGAATGATAGATATATTTGAATGTAGGTAAATGAGAATTAATTTGGTTAAAGAAAATCCAAATCATATTTAGGAAAATTTTCCTCCACTCACCTGCAACAGTGGCAAAATACCATAGAGAGTGAACAAAAATCAGTCACTGTCTTTATGGAGAGAGCACAGATTGGAGCAAAGACAGTTAAACTATGCAGAAGCACAAGGTGATACAATAGGTGAACTTAACCTAGACCTGGGATTAAAGGATGAGTGAGTGAGTGAGTGTGTGAAAATGTGTGTGTGTGTGTGTGTGTGTGTGTGTGTGTGTGTATACATATATATATTTTTTGATAGAGACGGTACCACTGTGTTGCCCAAGCTGGTTGCAAACTCCTAGGTTCAAGTGATTCTCCTGTCTTGGTCTACCAAAGTGCTGGGATTACAGTCATGAGCCACCAGGTCAGGCCAGATGAATGTGTATTTAACAAGGGCGGGGCAAGAAGAAGAAAGACGCATTCTAGGCAAAGGAAACAGAATGTGAAAGGGCCCCTGGGCCTGAAATACACAGCAGCAAGGAGAGGGCCATAAAATAAGGCTATAAATATGGGTAGATGCCAGATCATATAAGACTTTATGTGCCACATTAAAGATTTTATGCAGAAAAAGGAATAATTAGGTGCACATTCTAAACAGATTATTATGGTTTCAGTGAACAAAATGCACTGTGAGTAGAAATGGGAAGAGAAGTAAGATGAAGTATTTCAGAACAGGAGAGACGATGGTGGCTTGAACTAGAGATGAAGAGAAGAGCGATGACTTAAGATATTTTTAAGTAGCAGAATTAAAGCAGTCAGTTGCTATTTGCAGGAGATAAGGATGAAATCATGAATGCTTTCCAAGATTTTTGTTTGAGCAACTGGGTTGGAATTTCTGAGAAAAGGAAACTGGGAAAAGATAGAGATTCAGGGATGAGGGAAGATTATGAATTTAGTTTGTGACGGTTGAGTTAGAAGTGTCTAAAATACCACCTAAGGGAAGATAAGATGTCACATAACCAGTTAAATAATGTGTCTAAAACTCAGAGCGAGGACTCAGACTGAACTGTACATTTGAAAACAAAAACTATAACTGAAGTGTAGAGAGAAAGGAAGAAAGCCTAGGGCAGAGCTTCAAGGAATTCTACCATTTTATACTTGGGTAAAAGAAAAGGATCCTGTAAAAGAATTTAGAATTTTAACCCATGAAATTGACATGAACGACCTTAAGACTGTGGCCTGATATACTGATGAGATCCCTAAGATATTGAGTATTTTAAAGCAGAGGATCAATACCAAAACAAAATAAACTATGCCTTTCGTCTGTATAAAATCTTGTCTGGTGTGACAATAATTGGGATACTTTCTCAAGAAAGATAAAATACACCTAAAGAAGTTGCCAAAAAGGCAATACATGATCAAAGAGTTGAGTATACTTGTATGGAAAAACTAAAAATCTTAGAACTTGATACTGAAAATAAAGATTAAATAGGAATGTGGTGGATACCAACAGATCCAGGAAAAACATGGCTAATAAAAAAATAACATTCAAAAAAATTTAGACTATCAGATAAAAGAGGAAGTGCTTTTAGATTTCAGGCAAATGAAAAGATTTCAGAAATTTTTGAGACATAGAATTCATAGGTTAAAACTACAAATTGATTCACTAAAACATGCAAATTCATGACTGGATTGATACAATTAAAACCTGGTTGCTCTAAGAAAAATCAGGATGTTTCACAGTAATGCAAAGATGATGAACATGTCCTTCCACATTTTTCTTGGTGCCTGTTAGAAAACAGTGGTCTAAACAGACTATAGCATTGCCCAATAGAGTAATACTACCAATAACAGAGCACCAACAGACTCAGGTGACATTCAACAGAATCCTAATTTAGACTCTTATTAACAAAAGATAGATTGACAACTTTAAAGCGTATATTATTTTTGTTTTATTTGATTTAGATAGTTACCGTTAGCATAAAATGCCTTGTTCTAAAATAAATATCAGAGGCTCAGCAAGAATATTCTATTGGTGTTTCACAGAATTTCCTGAACATAAGAATCAGCCAGGCCACTTGTCGCATTGATGCCTAGGACCTTATTCTGGAGATTCGATTTGCTACAGGGTCAGATAATCCCTAGTTTGACAAGTGCCTCCGGGTGATCATTATAATCTAGATATTTTGTGGAACACTAATGCAAATAAACCGTGGGTTTCCTGAAAGCCAGAACCAGGTCTTAATCATTATAAAAATCTAGTGCCTAGCACAGTTTCTGGGACAGATTTGGAAATCAATAAACATATATCATGCAAATTATATTCTAAAACTTCTAATACTAATAAGTGCAAAGTTAAATTACCTATAGTTGTAAATCTTCATATACGTACAAATAACCACCCCAGCTGACAGAACTAAGGACTTCATCTACTTGAGATTTCTTTTCCCCTTATTACTTACTGCCAAAACCTTGTGCAGTCTTGTACTATTTCTCCCGCAATCCACAAACCCTAATCCTCCTTTTGCCCCGTGCAAATCTGGAGGTGAGGAGTGAGAAGAAGGTAATCCCCTGTGGCTATAACCCCAGCAGTCACACCCCCAGAGGCCCCATCCTGCTCCTCACCTGAAAGCCCCTGCCCTAGCTCCTGTGATGAAATGCCCCGGGTAGCCTTCCTACCTGAAGAAGGAAGAGGAACAAATACTGAGTCTAGGTTTTATTTTGAAATCCAGATGATTAATGTCTTAGTCCTAGTCTACAGTCCATTGGAGCACCGGAACACTTATAGAATAACTTTTGTGGTATCTTAAAATTAAATGTTTTCCTATTTACTCATTTTTTAAATCCCCTTCCTGTTATGATTAACATTTAAAAAAATTAAAAATGTTCACAAATGCTGAGATTGCACTTAGGAGGGGAGAATTCATAAGATTAACTGAGATTCCACAAGAGACCAGGGGGAGAAAAAGAGAATCAGGTAGGCCAATGGCTAGGCCACTAGGAAGGAAAGCATGGCCGGAGGGCAGGCCTGAAATCTTAAGGTACAGAGCCTCCCAAAGTGATGACTCTGAAGGAGACAATATTCATTTTTGGCTGTTCAGGTTCTCTGTATAAGAGTCTCACGACTTTATCACTTTTAAGATAAATGACAAATGAAATGATGAGAAGGTATGACTACAAAGTGGGGTTGGAACATAATGTAACATAAACAGCACAAAAAGCAAGGGCACAGTTACACTAAAATGGGAACTAAGTGCATGGTTCTTGCTTGTGGCATGACTAGAGAGATCCAGTTCACATGAGATGGTTCAGCATGATGTAATTTATAAATACCACATGTACAAAAAGAACCTAGAAATCAAAGAAAAATTGTTACATAAAAAATGAGTACATTGTTGGTTATATAAGGTTAAGTGTGTGATAATACATACCTAAAGGAGTATCATTCCAAAATTAATGAAATGTTTCTGACTTAAAGCATAATACTTTCCTCTATTTACCAATTTCAAAGATACCAGGCTGCTTATGAAGAAAGTCCCATAAAGTGCTGATAACCATGAAAATAAATGAAAATCTTAGTAATAATTCCTTCCGATGCTCATCAAAAATGACTGAGTTCAACCATAATACAGTAGCTCCACATTTTAAAATAATTCAAATTGCCCTCCTCATCAGCTGGCACACAGAGTCTACTTTTGGCAAACGGGACAAAGAGTGACCCATTTTGTTACTTTTTTTCAATCTTTGGCTTCGATTTTGAAAAAGTTAGTTTATGACAGGGTAGCAGGTTCTGTGATTCAGGATCCTTTCTCCCCTGGACACCAGGGTACAATTTTTTTGCTGCACAGAGGAAACAGCCGATAACAGAAGCTGGTGGTCTTATATCCTAATTCATCAATGATTAAAAATCTTCATTTACCATACTGAATTTCTACCATGATTTTAAAATCCACCAGCAATTGTCTATGGCATTAAAAAACATTTTTGTCTTACCTAGTTCATTCATTGCATGTCTATGCTCTTCGTCAAATGAAAGTTTCATTAGAACACACACAGCAGGACAGATCTGATGTTCAACAGGAGCTGGCACTGAAAAATAAAATCAACATAAACCATAATGCTTTGTTATTTGAAAAGCAATGATGTTTACTGTATTTTAAAAATATGCAGGGATCACTAATACACCCCTAATCCACAGAATTTTAGTGGATCAACAAATATTTGCTGAAAGGACAAATAAATACAACAAATGTGGAACAAAAAATAGGAATAAAGGGCTTTGTTTCCACAAAAATGTTTACCACTCATCTGCCCTTGACTAAGTCTCTTAGAATAAGTCTTGTAGGTTTATGATATTACTCACGTACCTGATAATTTAAAATTATGTTCAGTATATAAAAGAATAAAAACATCTTGGTAAAAAATGGCTTAATTTTGCTTATAATGTCTTTCTTTTCTTTCTTCTTTTTTTTTAAAATGGGGTCTTGCTCTGTTGCACAGGCCCAGGCTTCAGTGCAGTGATCACAGCTTCCACTGCAGCCTTGTATTCCTGGGTTCAAGTGCCCCTCCTGCCTCAGGCTCCAGAGCAGCTAGGACTACAGGCATATCCCACAACCACTAGCTAATTTTTAAAATTTTGTGTAGAGGTAGGGTCTTCTTATGTTGCCTAGGGTAGTCTCAAACTCTTGGCCTCAAGTGCTGGTTCTGCCTGGGCCTCCCAAAGTGCTAGAAATACAGGCACAAGCCACTGTGCTTAGCCCAGTTTATCATTCTATTTAAACTACTGCCATGAGTGTAGGTTAAAAGCACATGGTGCTGGGTGCAGTGGCTTACACCTGTAAGCCCAGCACTTTGGGAGGCTAAGGTGGGCAGTAGGAGTTCCAGACCAGCCTGGGGAGCCTGGCAAAATCTCATCTCTCCTAGAAAAAAAAAAAAAAAATTAGTGAGTTGTGGTGCTGCAGGCTTGTAGTCCCAGCTACCCTCAGGAGTGAGCCATGATCACACCACTGCATTACAGTCTGGGCACTTGTGAGACTGTGTCTCAATACAAACAAACCAACAAAAAGCACATGGCTGTGTACAAATGTGGTCTCTAATACAAAAAGTTAGACAATAAACAGAAATTTTAAAAAAGGGTGTCCAAGACTTTTAAAAAAAACTTCTCAAAAGAAATATTATTTTATTCTATTTATATCAAGCATACAAAAACGTGCGTCATTACATAATTGTGGACAGCCAAAGAAAATGATCCAGAAAGGCAATGTTCTCCCAGTAAAATCTTTTTTTTTTGAGGAGGAGTTTCACTCTTGTTACCCAGGCTGGAGTGCAATGGCGTGATCTCGGCTCACTGCAACCTCTGCCTCCTGGGTTCAGGCAATTCTCCTGCCTCAGCCTCCTGAGTAGCTGGGATTACAGGCACACGCCACCATGCCCAGCTAATTTTTGTATTTTTAGTAGAGACGGGGTTTCACCATGTTGACCAGGATGGTCTCGATCTCTTGACCTCATGATCCACCCGCCTCGGCCTCCCAAAGTGCTGGGATTACAGGCTTGAGCCACCGCGCCCGGCCCCAGTAAAATCTTAATAGCTCTCCTCACCCCAGGACAAACAGATATTAAAAAGGCAATCCCTGCTTGTTTATTCTTCTTTTTAAATTTTTAAAAATAGAGAGAGGGTCTCATTATGCTATCCAGCTGGTCTGGAATTCCTGGGCTCAAGCAATCCTCCTGTCTCAGCCTCCCAAAGTGCTGGGATTACAGGCATGAACACCACACCTGGCCTTTCTTGTTCTTGAACATTTTTAAATTTCAAATAAATTCTCCTTCATACTTAAGCTTAACAAAAATCTGCTACAGCTTCATAAGTCATGTCTGTATCATCTCTTCTACTCCTCACATCAATAGGCTGATACAGTAGAATCATCTACTTGTGCATGTACGTGTGTGTGTGTGTGTGTGTGTGTGTGTGTGTGTGTGTCAGTTTTTACCAGGTGAAAGGAAGGTCTTACCTTACATACTTACTGCTTTTGGTTCTTGGCTACAGGAATGAAATAAGTTACATCCTCATAGGTCCTAACTTCATGCTGCTCCTCAGGAGTGGGGCCAGTTTCTACAGGTCCCTTCCTGAGTGAAGAGCTAGGTGGATTATCACTCCCAGCAAGTGGGGCCCATTTTCTACAGCTGGATGGTTTACTAGGAAGAGCACTGACCTGAGAGTCAGGAGGTATGGGTTCTGTTTCTGGTTCTACCACTTACTAGGTGTGAGGTCCTTTAGCTCTTGTAAGCCTCAGTTTCTTCATCTGTAAAATGGAGATAATACCTTCCCTTCCTATTTCACTAGGTTATTGTGAGGAGCAAATAACATAACAGATGTAATGCTACTCTGTGTCTCCTGAATATAATGATATACAAATGTAAAAGATTACGGTTTGGACACTAATACTTGAAGGAACTTATGTAAAGTCGCTTTCATCTATGAAATGAGCTTCAGCTATGAAGTGAAAGATGGCAACATAATTGCTCAGATTCTTTCTAGCTCTACTAAGGTCCTACATGCTATGACTGTATAAATTTCTCTTGACTTGCTGTTCTTATAGTAGTGTACATAACATTTTCCTTGGCTAAATTTTTCTAGGGAAATACAAACTTAAGCTTTTAAATATGACAGTAGCATAAATGGCAGATATGAATTTCCTTCTCTTAGTCACAAAGACAACATACTAACTAAAAATATTTTCTATTCAAAAATTTCACATTTGCTTTCAAACATGCACTATGATGTACACTATAGAGAACATACTTGGATTTTTGTCCTGGTCCATGCCTTGTTCATGGGCTTCCTGCCACTCCCAACAGGTTTCACAGTAAGCGCGTATCTGTTCCAAAAGATGAAGGACTCGGATTTCACGCCTGCCTCTCTTGTCATCAGGCTGTGAGTGAATGATGTTGTGGAGAGCTGCACTGGCCCTGGCCCGAGCCTCTTTACTGCCCCGGGAATTTCCCAACAATACAGAGTCTTTGTCATTGCCATGTAAAAGCTGGATGAGGAGAGGAAGACATCCAGACTGTCGCATGGATATACAGCTGTCTTGGGAGCTAGACATAGCTAGCAAAGTTCGCGACATATCATCCTTATCATGAGTACCAAGCATTGACAACAATGAATACACCATTTCCACCTGTGGGCCAAATGAGTTTAGAAACAAAATTATGACTTTAATATCCAAAAGCCAAAACCGATTAAGTGATGAATGGGATATTTACTCTAACTCAAAAAAAGAAAAAAGAAAGAAAAAAGAAAAAAAACCAACAATCCTTGCCCCCCAGACAAAAAAAAAAAAAAAAAAAAAAAAAAAAAAAACCAGGATGAAGAAAACAGTGTTATTTCAAAATCTATGTATCATCACCAATTTGTTTATGTGAGTAAATAATATGAGTGGTAATATACAGTATTAAAAGGAAAAGTAGGTTCTTGCATACTCACTAACAAACTGTTAGTGCTGTCTGCCTAGATCAGTTGGTGCTAATCACATTGACCATAATCAGTGAAAAACAACTGATTTCATACACACACAGAATGCAGTTTATCTAAATTCTTTACATAGTTTAAAATTTTATCTTACTTCTTTTAATCTATACCTATAAGCAATAAATAGAAAACTATAAGTACTAATTCTCAGCTATCACTAATTCTTGTCAGATAATAATGTTAAAACTATACGATTAAAAATTTTAAACTATTTTGTCATAAAAAGGAAAATGCCATGATCATACTGAGAGTGAGAGCCAAGATTTGTAGTCAATTTTTTAAAAAGCAACTGTTCTAAATTACTCTCTGACAATAAATTCTAAGTATTTACTTAGAGCAGATTAGAAACAGGAGCCCAGTTATCCTGGACCATGATCCACTCATTTCAAAGACAGAGGATATTATATAAAAGCAGAGACTAGTATATAAAAAATGCATCATCTCTATAGTTCAGTGGTTCTCAATTGGGGGCAATTTTGCCCCCATCAGGACACATTTGACAATGTCTTAGAGACGTTTTTGGTTGTCACAATTGCAGGGTGGGTATTTTAAGGGAATCTAGTAGGTAGAGACCAGGGATGCTACTATACATTCTACAATGCAACAAAGAATTATCTGGCCAATAGTGCTGAGGTTTAGAAGTGCTGCCTTAAATATGTAAAGACACACATACTTCAAGATATGAAAGTTTTCAGAAAGCAGTATAGGACTATGGACAAACGGGTTTTCATTAGAGCAAGGTTCAAATTTTGGCTTTACCTCTTAGGAGCAAGCTGTGTGATGCTATTATAGTTAAGCTATTTGATTTCTCTGAGTCTCAGTTTTCTAAGCTGCAAAATGGAGAAATTTACCTACGTAACAAGATTGTTTCCATTAAGATGAAATAAATTAATACATGTATAGGATAGTAGCTGGCATTCAAAACACATAGTAGGGTCTTAATATTATCATGCATAAATCACTTCAAAAGGAAACAATTCTAATTGCCAGTTTTCATACAACAGTACTCTTAAAGATTCGAGATTTTCTTTATAGTATAAACTACATGTTGAGGTTAAATCTGGAATTAAATTGACATGCCTAAAATTTTTTTTGCTTCAGTTTTCTCATTTAGAGGAGTATCAACACTTCACAGGATTTTTGAGGTGACCAGAGATAATGTACATATAACTCTTAGCACAGTTACTGGCATGTAAGAGGTCCCAAGAAGTAACTACTTGGGACCTCTTATATGAAGTGAATTATAAAAAGGATTAAGCTTCATACAGTAAGGGAATTATTGATTATTTTAAAATTCATTACTAAAATCAACATTAGTTATTTCAGTAATACATTTCCCCAGAGCTATTATATTATTTACAGTAAAGAAAGAGTATATAGAGCATGTTGTGAAAACAATTAATGGAATTATTTAGTATTAACTGAAAATACATTGTTTAGTAATATTAGAATTTCATCTTTGTTAATATTAAAATCTCTGATGGGCCAGATGCAGTCACTCACACCTGTAATCTCAGCACTTTGGGAGGCCAAGGCAGGTGGATCACCTGAGGTCAGGAGTTCGAGACCAGCCTGGCCAACATGGTGAAACCACAGCTCTACTAAAAATTCAAAAAATTAGCTGGGTGCGGTGGCATGTGCCTGTAAACCCAGCTAATCAGGAGGCTGAGGCAGGAGAATTGCTTGAACCGGGGAGGTGGAGGTTGCAGTGAGCCAAGATCGCACCACTGCATTCCGGCCTGTGCAAGAAAAAAACTCCGCTTCAAAAAATAATAACAAATAAAATCTCTGACTTTAAAATAATAACAAAGTAACTACTTTCCTTTTCTTTGTTTTTGAAATGGAGTTTCACTCTTGTTGCCCAGGCCTGAATGCAATGGTGTGATCTCGGCTCACTGCAACCTCTGCCTCCAGAGTTCAAACGATTCTCCTGCCTCAGCCTCTTGAGTAGCTGGAATTACAGCCATGTGCCACTGCGCCCCGCTAATTTTGTATTTTCAGTAGAGATGGGGTTTTACCATGTTGGTCAGGCTGGTTTCAAACTCCTGACCTCAAGTGATCCACTGACTTCGGCCTACCAAAGTGCTGGGATTACAGGTATGAGCCACCAGGCCTGGCCTAAAGTAACTATTTTCTTTTCAAATATTATTCCCAAATCCTAAAATATTTGCTAACATCTATGAAAGATACTCTAAGAAAGTTCATTTATCAGCATGAAATAACACTCAACTTCAACAATTTTTCCATCTACCTCAATACATATGTGCAGGCACTGTGTTAGACACAGCAAAAGGCAAGTAAAAAAACAGTTCTTACTTTCTAAGACAGTTTCATGTAAATTGTTAGTGATTCAAATGACGCAGATGGATCACATGGGGAGGTAAGAGGACCTTGGGAATTAGAAAATGTTCTGTAAAAAAGCAAAGCCCAAGAAGAGTTTTGAAGGCTCGCTAGGTTTCTGACAGACATTTATGGTGGTCCCTACCATTGCAGGCAAGGAATGGAGACAGAAAGTCACAGGGAGTGTTCAGGAAGAAGGAAGTGGGCCAGTTCGGCTAGAGCTCAGTATTCTGGCAGAAAAGCAGATGGAAAGACTGAAAAAGAAACATTAGCGGATCTGACACTTTTTATAATCCTCATTTTCCCTTTGTTTATGCTTCTTTGTATAAAAAGATGTCATTTCTTTAAGAGACTGTAAATCAGAATTCTCCACTACAAAGTGGTGCAATCTCATTCGCTGCAACCTCTGCCTCCTGGGTTCAAGCTATTCTCATGCCTCAGCCTCCCGAGTAGCTGAGACCACAGGTGTGTGCCACCACACTGGCTAATTCTTGTATTTTTAGTAGAGATGGGGTTTTGCCATGTTGCCCCGGCTGGTCTAGAACTCCTGGCCTCAAGTGATCCACCTGTCTTGGCCTCCCAAAGTGCTGGGATTACAGGTGTGAGCCACCACGCCTGGCCAAGAACATCTTAGCAAAGTATTCATAGCATTAGTGACCAGGGTTTGTAATCTTCTGTTACCTTGGTTCCCAGATGACTTGTCAGCCTTCGAGGTGCAGAGTGCGTGCTACTAGAACTCAAAACACTGGCTGTTTCGTGGTCCATTCGTGTAGTTGAACCCTAAAAATTAAGCAAATTATGGATAGTGTAATTTAGACTATAAGTAAATACAGATAACTTCATGTTACGGTATACCAAATGAAACGTCTTTAGGATAAACAAATACATCAGAAGAAGTATGACCATTTTAACTGTTCAAAATATTTTTTACCTATAAACTTACTAAGCATATTTTAGAGAAAAACTAAAGAGGATTTCATGCATATAAGCATTAAACTCCAGTATGAACCTAACCAAAGACTGAAGAAATTCTAGGGTAGTAATTTTTCATAGATAAAAAGGAAGAAAACGACATTCAGATAAATATAAGTTGACTGATGGGAAGCAATGAAGGAATGTTCAAATTACAAAATGCTCCAAATTGCCAGAAAACTAAGTATGAATTTAGCTACAGTCCAAGTTCTCCAAGATCTCACAGTTTAGAAAGGACTGTTTGAAACTTTTACTGGAGAAAGACATGAAGACATAAATGACTGCAGCCGGGCATGGTGGCTCAAGCCTGTAATCCCAGGTGCTCAGGAGGCAGGAGAATGGGACAATCAGGATTATGTCTCAAAAAACAGGATGGAGAGAGATCCAAGATGGCTGATTAGGAGCAGCTCAGAATTGCAGCTCCCAGTGAAAGTGCAGACAGTGAGTGGACGCCACATTTCCAGATGGATTTTTATTGCTTACAGACCAGGAGATTCCCAGGCGAAGGAGCCCCACGGGTAGCCAGTGCGACTCTTTTGGCTGGCTCGGCTGTTTTGCCGGCACCCTGGCAAGGCCGTTCTCAGTACAAAATAAATGGGACTGGGTGCCCTTTTAGTTGGCGATTGGAGCTCCAGGAAGGCAGAGTCACCCATTCAGCTGATTAAAAAGGGGACTGAAACAGGGAACCAGGCCCAAAGATTCCCAGGCAAAAAAGTACCACGAATCTCAATGCCGCTGTTTCAGCCGGCGCAGTGGGTCACCGCATGGGATATCACACAGATCCCGGTGCCTTTTCAACAGGTGACTGGAATACCTGGGAGAGAGTTGACCATTCAACTAAAAAAAAAAAAGCTCTGAGGCAGGGAGCCAGGTGATCAGGCTCAGTGGGTCCCACCCCCACAAAAAAAACAGCAATTGGAAATGCTGTGAGTTGAGAGTTTCACAGCAAGCACAGCTGAACCGGGAAGGCCCAGATTTGTGGGGGAGGGGCATCTGCCGAAGGAAAACTAAGAAACAGAAATAACTTCATCACCAACAAACTGGACGTCCACTCAGAGACCCAATCTGAAAGTCAGCAACTACAAAGATGACAGGTGGATAAATCCACAAAGATGGGAAGAAACCAATGCAAAAAGGCTGAAAACACCCGAAATCAGAATGCCTCTCCTCCTACAAGGGATCACAACTCCTCACCAGCAAGGCAACAAGGCCTGATGGAGAACGAGTGTGATGAACTGACAGAATCAGGCTTCAGAAGGTGGATAAGAAGAAACTTCTGTGAGCTAAAAGAACATGTTCTAACACAATGCAAAGAAATTAAGAACCTTGAAAAAAGATTTGATGAAATGCTAATGAGAACAGACAATTTAGAGAGGAATATAAGTGAATTGATGGAGCTAAAAGACACCACACAAGAACTTCGCGAAGTATGCACAAGTTTTAACAGTCAAATTGACCAAGCAGAAGAAAGGATATCAGAGGTCGAAGGTCAACTCAATGAAATAAAATGAGAAGGCAAGAATAGAGAAAAAAGGGTAAAAAGGAATGAGCAAAGTCTCCAAGAAATATGGGACTATGTGAAAAGAAAGACCTAATCTACGTCTGATAGGTGTACCTGAATGTGACGAAGAGACTGAATCCAAGCTGGAAAATACTCTTCAGGATATTATCCAGGAAAACTTCCCCAACCTAGCAAGGCAGGCCAATATTCAACTCCAGGTAATACAGAGAACACCACAAAGATATTCCTCAAGAAAAGCAACCCCAAGGCACATAATCATCAGATTCACCAGGGTTGAAATGAAGAAGAAAATGCTAAGGGCAGCCAGGGAGAAAAGTCAGGTTACCCACAAAGGGAAGCCCATCAGACTCACAGCAGATCTCTCAGCAGAAACCTTACAAGCCAGAAGAGAGTGGGGGCCAATATTCAACATCCTTAAAGAAGAGAACTTGCAACCCAGAATTTCATATCTAGCCAAACTAAGCTTCAGAAGTGAAGGAAAAATAAAATCCTTTGTGAATAAGCAAGTACTCAAGAGATTTCATCACCACCAGGCCTGCTTTACAAGAGCTTCTGAAAGAAGCACTACACATAGAAAGGAACAACCAGTATCAGCCATTCCAAAAACATACCAAAAAGTAAAGAGCATCAACATAATGAAGAATCTGCATCAACTAATGGGCAAAACAGCCAGCTAGCATTAAATGGCAGTATTAAATTCACACATATCAATATTAACCCTAAATTTAAATGGACTAAATGCCCCAATCAAAAGACACAAACAGGCAAATTGGATAAAAAGCGAAAACCCATCGGTGTGCCATATCCAGGAAACCCATCTCACATGCAAGGTTACACAAAGGCTCAAAATAAAGGGATGGAGGAAGATTCACCAACTGAATGGAGAGCAAAAAAAAAGGAGTTGTAATTCTCGTCTCTGAATAGACTTTAAAGCAACAAAGATCAAAAGAGACAAAGAAAGACATTACATAACGGTAAAAGGATCAATGCAACAAGAAGAGCTAAGAATCCTAAATACAAACACACCCAATACAGGAGCACCCAGATACATAAGGCAAGTTCTTAATGACTTACAAAGAGACTTAGACTCCCACACAATAATAGTGGGAGACTTTAACACCCCATTGTCAATATTAGACAGATCAACCAGACAGAAAATCAACAAGGATATCCAGGACTCGAATTCAGACCTGGAACAAGCAAACCTAATAGACATTTACAGAACTCTCTACCCCAAATCCACAGAATATACATTCTTCTCAGCACCACATCACACCTACTCTTTAAGTGACCACATAATTGGAAGTAAATCGCTCCTCAGCAAATGCATAGCATTTCACAGGTTTACGTGAAATATTGGTTGATTGCTTGTTTGTTATCTTCCTCCCTTATTCCTTCCTGTCTCCATTGTCAAGCACAATTATTGGCATAAAAGAGGTTTTTAATACCCATTTTTTGACTGCATTCCAGCTTGGGCAATGCAGCAAGACTCCCGTTCTCTCTCCCTCTTTCTTTCTTTAAAAAAAAAAAAAAAGGATGGAGAAATCACAGGAAGGTAATGAGGGAGAGGGTATTTTCAGTAGCTGAGTGGTTCTGAGGGCACAAACTAAGGCAGTGAGAATAGAGAAGTGGGAATGCCCCTGAAGGATACTTACGGGGTCAAATTAATTGGTTTGAATAACTTGATTGGTGAATAGAGAGGTTGGGAATCAGCCAGGTGAGGTAGCTCATGGCTGTAATTCCAGAACTTTGGGAGGCCAAGGTAGGCAGATCACCTGAGGTTGGGAGTTCCAGACTAGCTTGACCAACATGGAGAAACCCCATCTTTACTAAAAATACAAAATTAGCTGGGTGTGGTGGTGCATATCTGTAATCCCATTTACTTGGGAGGCTGAGGCAGGAGAATTGCTTGAACCCAGGAGGCAGAGGTTGTGGTGAGCCAAGATCATGCCATCGCACTCCAGCCTGGGCAACAAGAGCAAAACTCTATCTCAAAAAAAAAAAAAAAAAAATCTGAGATAAATATCTGAGACCTATCAAAATATAAGCCATACCTAAATCCATTCATTAATAATTAAGGAAATGACTATAAGAAGTATCAGCAATATTTGCAGGCACTGTTTTACAGTTCTCAACCTTGGAAAATGAAAAGCTAAAATGTTAAGTTATCTGAGGACAGAAACTTTATTCTGTTCACTGCTGCATTCTTAGTGCCAAGGATGGTCTTAGGCTTAGTAGGTATCCACAAAATATTTGATATTTGTTGAATTATGAATAAATGGGGAGCTATCAGTAAAATTCGTAAGAATGTCAAGATGCAGGACATCATTCTAATTGTCTTTTAGGTATAGATGCTTTGGCTAACTGGAGGAGGGAAGGAGAAAACCACAATGGAAGTAATAGGTTTTGAGGACTGTGAGATGGCACCTCCCACTCTAGAGAGTACAAGGGGTAGAATTTTGGAACCAACACACTTTATAATTTCTTTTTGTGCATAAATTTCACTTTTGGTGATTTTTTTTTTTTTAAGAGACGAGGTTTCACTATGTTGCCCAGGCTGGCTTTGAACTCTTGGGCTCAAGTGATCCTCTCATTTCAGACTCCAGAGTAGCTGAGACTATAAACGTGAGCCAATGAACCTAGCTATGGTGACGTGTTAGGAACATTTCACAGAAAACTGTTAACAATGCATTTCTAAGTGATTCGTCAGGATTCTAATAAGTAATAATTAAGTGCTCAACCAGAGATTTCTGAATTCATTATAAATTCCTTGTTCAAATTTGTTATAAATTTGTTATAAAGTCCTTAAATAGGTAATACTCCAGAGTTAATTTTTATGAGGGCTGCTTAGAACTTCTGTGTAAGTCATGCTATAAGCCAAGGTTAGGTTTTCCTAACTAGTACACAAAACTGTTTTAGATCATAAGTCACAATAATTAGCTATTTCAGATGAGCATTTTTAAAGAGAAAACTACATTTGTCAAAACTCATTCAACCATACACTTAAAATGGGTGCATTTTATTGCAAGCTAATCTTTCTTCAACAAAAGTGATCTTTAAAAAAATCCAAACTTAAGAGGTTTTTAAAAATGTGTCCCCATATAAAAGCAAGAAAATCTACTTACTCATACTCACACAGGGAAGTCTGGGGTTGGACTGAGAATACCAGTTCAGAGTCCAGAGTGCCTCCCCTTTCCAGTGGCTACTTCCTTTGTGGGTCTGGACTCTTTATGCCTGATTAGTCCTTCAGGGACACTTCTAGGACACAGCTAATTAGTATGCCTCC